TCAAAAGAATAGACACGACCAATCAAATCCCTACAAACCAACACTTGAATATCAATGAGATGCTCACTAGTGACTTGCCCTATTCAGGTAGATAATTACCTGGGGTTCTAGTGAGAAGTCGTGACCAGTAGGGTGCAGCAGGTCAGGTGTAAGGACAAATACTCGCCGAAGACATTGGCGCTATGTCGTGAATTGGCAGAAGTTAGAATCGATGGGCCATTGGATCAGGTCTCAGTGGCTTAATGGTATACGAGCTCGCCTTATAACCAGAAGGTCCCGGGTTCGAATCCCGGTGGGTGCGTACTGCTGAAGAGTCCCAAACTAGGACGAAACAGCTGTCCAGTACTCCCAGGTTTTCCAATGGTTCTCTAACTAATGTCGGCTCATGATGAAATCCTGAAAAAAGGAACAATTACGAGGAAAGAAATTATTTACAGTATGTGGGACATTCCCCAGTGTATGTCATGAAATTCAGATATTATTATTTATATAAGTTACTCCAGGGAAAACAGAACAGATTTAGTCATTGAATGTACAACGATCACATGGTTTTTCATGTCATTTTATTAGACCATTTTAGTTCAAGAAGCATGTACTTTTGAATAGTTTGACTGGATATGATAGAAAGGATTGTGTACTTTTACGATTATTGAGTTTTCTAATTCATGAAAATTCCCATTAAAACATGTTAAGAAAAGAAAATGCATCAATAAGAAAAAAGGCTTCTCATAGATCCTATTTAATACACCTGTACATTTGTACTAACTGAACTTATCAAGACGTTTGATAGGGCGTAAATAGTCATTTTTTATTAAAAGCCAAGCGAAGGAAATTTTCTTTTCGATGAAGTCATCAACTAGGCTGTACACTCGTGTATTTATATTAAGTGTGTGAGAAAACTCCAGAACTATTTCCGGACAAAGGTCAAATCAATAAAATTACTAAGTGTAATAAGCAGAAGATAGGTAGTGGTACTATTGTAGAAATATTTCAGGTAAAAGTCCATTTAAAATTACAGTATGTGATATTCTGGAAGCTCAGGTAGGAAAAACATAATGAGATGTAATTACTCAGAAGTGGCTTTAGAATTGAGAATAAAAGTTGTAAATTACGTAGTAGTCAACTGCACGAAGGGAAAAAGGATTAGAAATCTGATAAGATTTAAATTGTTATTGAGTTACAATAAAGGTATTTGAGCGTCTACTTATGCACATGGTCCGGGGTTCGATCCCCGGCAGACGCACATATGATATCAATGGTCGGCCTGCTGAATTTGAGCTACCGATATCACATGCTGAAATTTGCATACTTGTACCGGAATACTGTGTGGAATAAAGCTACAATAAAGAAATAAAAATGATAAAAAATAAAGAAGGAAAGTTGAAAATTAGTAAATATTAAAAATAAAATGTTTTTTACACAGAACGATTAGTGAGGAGGTTAAGATCATGGTAGAATAAGAGAGTGAACCAACTTTTTCTGTTTACAGAGTTCGGGGTTGTATTGACGAATCGCCGGGGCCTCCGTCATACGAAATGCTGAAACCTGACACCCTTTCTACCGTTTGGCCTCATACATTTATTCCCCTTAATTAATTTGAACAAAGCAAGAACTACAGTTTTGGCCTCACCTTGTAGATGATCTTGAAAGATGACTCTGGCGGAGCTACGTGTCTTGAGTTCACAAAGTGCTTTAGGACTGAGCTAGTAACTGACTCGCATTGTCCTTTTACTAACCATGCCAAGTAATGTTCAGAGATGCATTTGGAAAGTGTGCGCTTTGTGCTCACTGAAAGAGATGACTGCTTTCACATTTCGCCGGTTGATGATCATTAGTGCTTGCTGTTGTTAGTAAAGAAGCTTCAACATATTCATTCGAAGGCCTGTCTTCGTTGTCCCTTCTGCCATCTTACTGGGTTTTTTTTTGGCTTATAAATCTTCGATTTTTTGTCGAGTGAGACATCCATCACCCAAGAAATCCAAATCTTCTTGGGTCAGTACAAAAAGTGTCTGTCTTCTCACTCTTCAACGTCTACCAATTAATCCATTTGTACCACAATCAGGAATATCGTCATTGATATAACGCAACCTTTTTTTACCCCTCTCTTGACTTAAAAGGCTTCGGTAAACTTTCCGTTGTGAATTTATTGGCATTTGATGTTATCAAACAGCTGCTAAATGAGGCACATAAATGTTTGTGCCAGTTCACTTCATAGTATCTAAGCAGTCGCCAAACTACTTCACAATTGACTCTATCGGAGGCCTATCTAAAGTCAATGAATTTGGGGTAGTATTGTCTGTCACTCTAGCCTCTCTCGGATGATGACGCGTAGTGTTATTAGGTGGTCGGCGCACTAGTCGTTTTTCTCAAATATAACCCGTTCCGGGCGCAGTATTCGGTGCATGCCATTTTTCAGTTTTCCCAGGATGATATGGGACGAACAGCAGCATTATTCCACACCAATTCTTGCAAAGTCCATCTTACCTTGGCGATTTGGCAAAATTACTCTTTTTCCAATCCTCGTGTATATACCTTTTCTCTCACATCTCCTGTAATAGTGACGCCAGCACATCCGTTGAGGCCTCTGATTCAGGTGTAAGTGCCTTTATAGAACCTCACCCAGTTTTGCTGCGTTAATGGACTTAAGTAATTTTCTTGGTCTCCAAGACGTCTGCTTTTGTCGGAGAATCGGTGTTAACTGATACTTCTGTGCCAGTTGGTGTTATCTCCGGATGAGGTGCAACTGGTGGCCAATTCAAGAGTTATTCAAATTGTTCGGCACATCGTTTCCTTTTTCTGTCCTCTTTGGTAATTAGATTTCTCTCACCACCTGTCACTGAATTCATCTTCTTTGATCCCATCCTGGGAGGCAACCAGTTTATTGATACAGTGTTGCGAGGTCTCCCTCATACGCACTCTATTCTTCTTTAGCTTCTGTTGCGCCATAAAGTATCTTTTGTCCTTCCTAATACTCTTCTTCACTCCTTTGTACATTACCATGAAGGCTGTACTCAGCTCCTCCTTTTCGTTTTGATGTCTACACTGATACATCTTTTACTACACAATGTTTCTGTACTTTATAAGGTGTCCTCAGTGGACCACTAATTGTCTTACCTCTTCTTTTCTCTTAAAACAATATGTAGGTTTCCCTCGAAACCACTTTTAGAGAGTTACGATGATTCTCCATGTTGGCTTCCTCAGTGATCTCATATAATGTCTCCAACTTCTATCTGATGGCTGCAGTAAAGGTGTAACTCCGTCTTTCAGTTTCTGGGTGTTCACCTTGAGATATGGTCTGTTTCCAGCTTCTCTGAACGCTTTCAACTTGACCTAGAAGGTTCCGTGCACTATATAGTGGGTGATCTGAGCAGGCATCTGCTCTTATCCTTGTTACTGTGTCTAGAATGCTGTGTCTCTACTTTATTGATATTGAGGTGAAGTCTATCGGGTTTTTTTATGTTCATGGTGGTGGGACCCATGTTACCTTGTGTATACCCTTGTGTTTGTACACTCTGCCTTCCACCTCCAAATCAATAAACAGGAAGTCTGCAAAAAGTTCTGTGTTTTTTGTTCATATCATCGACCGTCTGTCGATCTATGAAACGCTCTGCTCCTTTGTTGTCTGATCGCAGTGTGACATTCATATCACCCATCAGGAATTTGGTGCTGCCATCTGTCTGTGGGTTTGTTCATCATTGTTTGCAGTTGTCTGTGGAATTTTCCCTTCTTCTCTGAGTTGTATGTGGGAGAGTAGCATTAGATGATTGTGACTTTCCTTCCTTTTCAGTTGAAACTTTCCATCTTCAAGCTGGGGGATACTGATTCCTACTCCATTAGAACTTCGATGCCCTTGATGACATAACGATAGCTATTCTGCTAATGTGTTCGTGGTTGTCGTCTGAGTAACGGGAATAAGTAACTGATTCTTTAGTTAACGACTTGGAGGGTTCGATTCCACTCCATGTTCTCTCACAGATTCCTACCACTTAAGTACTATGTCTCCTCATTTCTTCTGGAATCTAAGCGTTGACATTCAGTGTCTTTATGCTTATCTCGCCCTGGCAAGCTGGGTCGCCTAAGTCTTTTGGCGGCATCAATCGTCTGTCACTCCCGATTTCCATAGGTATTTCGTTGTTTTTTACTGGGTTAATTTGCTAGCCGCGCAGTAATAAGATGAAACTCAATGATCAAACAAAATTTTGTAGGGATTACTAGTTGCGAAATTATTTTATTTTAAAAATGTTGAAGTGTTTTTACTCTGAACCTGAAACCTAGTTGAAAAACGCACAGAGTGAGGGTTATCTTCATTCATCGTTGGAGAACAATACACATAAATGACAAATTTTCAGAAAGAACGCAACCTTATCGCAAGGAAACCAGGTTGAATGGACTATGTATAGCTCCCCTTGGTCATATACCCAAGTCACTGGTAATAAACATTTTAAGAAAATAACCAGTGATGAAATGTACACATGCGCATACATGTTCTGTTATTCAGCTAATATTATCTTCTTTCACTGTATGTATTAGAAATAATATTTATTAAAAGACATTGACGTCAGCGTTTCTCATTTTTTTTGCACTGACAGATCCAGTTAGTATTCATTTCGATTCCCAACTATTCGCACTATGTTTAGTATCCTCTTCATGTGGATAGAATAAAAGCATATATCAATCAGACTTTAAAAGAAGTGGTCCATTTATATAGAGGGAAGAATTTCAGAACTTATTGCTTGATAATGTCAATAACATTTATGAAATAAACAGTGAGGTATTCTAGATGAATGTCAATCTTCAACCTAAAAAGGTTCCGAATTAAGTATTTTCAATGGGAATAAAAATGATGAATGCTTTTTGTGCTCCTTGGCTTTAAAATTGATTCAAGGTCATTTTATCGATTGTTTGACATCTGATTGGTTGTAAAGATGTAGAGCTGCATCATTACAAATAAACTATTGGCTTAAAGTATAGAAATATACATTAAAATTTATTTACTTTGGCTTTCATTGTACACCGATTGGTTTTAACCATCTTCAGGCAAACTCATCAGTTTCGACTATTAAACCTACTGAATAAAATGGAATTCTGTGATAAGCTTTACGAAAGTGTAGTGGATTTAATTCATCACATGATATTTGTGGCCACTTGACTTACAAATACCATTCATTCTATTATTACTGATTTTGCCTGCCAAACCTCTGCTTTCAAGAAGAGATTTCAGAAAACAGTTTGCAAACTACATCTGATTTCCATAAATCTGTCAATAGTTATAGAACATTTTGTTATTAACGTACCAGATGTCTTCAGTTTATCTAAAAGGATAATATAATTGTTTAATCTACCACATAAAATTAATTATTTCACATTTTGATCATTTATAAAGTTATTCTATACTTAGCACACCTGTTAACATTATGGAACATTCTAATAAATGTTTTAAGTCTGAAGATAACTTGGAAAATAATTTAGCCTCATGGAGTACAATAACACAAACAGGATCACAGCATACAACAAAACGTGACAGATGGAAAGGCAAAATAGATTTTCTTATAGCATGCATGGGATTTTCTATAGGTTTGGGAAATGTATGGAGATTTCCTTATCTGTGTTACAAAAATGGTGGAGGTAATTGGGTAAATTTCTTGTGGTTATTTTTTAATTGAATATATACATACATTTGACAAGAATTTCATCACCATAACTTCGACATCCCCAGAAGAGTTTGTTTCTTACACAAACTGTTATTTCAAGTAGTGGTGGTGAAGAGTGTTGACAACCTAGTACTTTTAATTCTTAAACTTCACATTCACATAGACGGAAAAGTACCATTTATCAAGCATAGTTGAGCAACACTGAGGCTTTAAGCTTTGGCATTCAGATTTACTGGTTCCATTACCTAAGTATTCAGAAACACTTCTTGAATCAAGCAAAAACAGTTTCGAAAATGAAATATAGATGTTTAAGATAACGGGTTAGGAAAACGCCCATGTGATGTGAAGTAACAAAACACAAGACAACAGACTTATGTACTCATAATCCGTCATAATTACTCGAGGGGTGGATGACACTAATAATTCCCAGTGGAGAACGTGAATGAATACGGTTACTAAAGCTGACACCCCCCCCTGAAGTTAGGTGTATGGATAAATAAAAATACTTTTCCTTATTGCCTGAAACATACATCTAATGACAGCATTTCTTACAGTAAACTACAAATTTATATGTAAGATTAACCTGAAAAAGAACTTATTACAGCTGTAAAGCACCTCCAGAAAACAACTGCCGATAATGCAGTTTAGAGAATATACGTCATTTCAGGACTTTGCTTCAGAAGTGACAAAGTATGTGCAAGGATTAAATATGCATTAATGTGGTACTAAAGAGTTTCATTGTACGTGGCCGAATGAACTAATCAGTGAGACCGTTTAAGGTTGGAAAGTTACTTTGACTGCATAAATCATTTTACGTCTAGATACAGAAGCACGTGTTTTGGATGAACAAGAAATGACCTTGTAAGGATATTTCAACGAATTTAAAAAATAACCTTATTAGATAAGTTAGCTGTTACTTTATGGACCAAGATCGTGAAAGAAGTTATAATAACGTAGGACGGACTCTTTGACTTAATAACATTATTTTCAGTCAGTCGGTCACATGCTCGAGTCACTCACCTCCTACTTCAGGTTGGCCAACTGGGTGGTGTCCTCTGGCCTTAAAAATCGGGAGACTCAGTATAGAGCATGAAAAACTCATTCCTGATAAATGAGTTCCAGCTGAATATTTTCCAGAGGCGCATTAATTTGTTGATTTTTACCAGAGCAGTAGCTGTTAGACGAATAATGCCCGAACGAAACGCCTGTTAATAACTCCCCACAGTTGAAATTAAGTTCTGTTTTTTCAGTGATATTCAATAATGCTTTATATTGATTTTGTTTCACGACCTTCGGCCTCTTGTCAATAACCACACCTTTGGAATTTTATCGGCTGGTGTTGATATTAGTAGCTGACATTAAAGTTTTTAAATCCTTTAGCCGAAACAGAGACTTCTTGACTTAACCCATTATCAATGATATCTAATAAACCAAACCTCTCAAATTTCTTTTAGAACCTCAAACTCTCTATTAAGCTTAATTCATATTTGTAACCCTTAGTAAAAAGAACATTCTGGTTATATGTTGACTAGAAAGTTGTATAGCGTTATAAAGTCTTATCTGTTATCGCCAGTGACTCTTCACTGAAAACTTGCGGATTTTTGAATTGTTTGTGGTTGTTTTACTACTAGTAGATTATTAATTGGTGTTTTAATATTGATGAATACATTTTCATTGATGAAAGGTGATAACGCGGGCTACTTGGCAGAGTTGTGCAGGTCTATATCCATATGTTGTGATGGTAGCTTTTTATATAAAACTGTATTCCACTGACTGAATGCCTCTTGAACAGACAGAAAATTATTTTGAAATATTACTTCATAGTTTGATTGAGTATTCTTGAAAAGGAAAGTCATCAGTAGATAATAAGAATAATAAATGTGATAAACTAAACTAGCTTTAACCCAACTAGCATTAACCCAACATATATAACAATCTTTTTCCAAAGTAAGCATATGTATACACTTCTCATCGACAGTTTAGTTGGATTGCTTGACTGTAGAAAAACACAAGCATCGATAGTTGGTAACCGTGGATATGAATTATTCTGATGATTTCAGGTGTCTGTACGACCGATATTCACCTAGGACTTATTATCATGTACATTTATCAACTAAATCTTTTGATTTTAAAGACAGTTGACAGGATTGCTGTCGATTTTTATTTCTTTTCCTTTTGTTGATTGAATTCCACTTTCATGTGTTAATTTGAAAAATGAAAACTGTAAGCAACTAAGGTGTGTCTGTTTGCAGATAACATTGTGTTGTGTACAAAAATATAGTCTTCCATATAGAAAAATTTCTTTTATGAGTCTAATCAGATCACTTTCTTTTTTTATTACTCATGGAAAGCTTCAAAAATGAAGCAACAGATTAAATTAAGACCTGACATAAAAGTGCACTAGTTTAAGTTATTGCATTCATCAAAATCACAGGAATAAGAAGTAGAAAGATGATTAAAAAAGGCAGAAAAGTTACCACAATAAAGACGATAATTAAACGAAGCTGAATGAAACTGATCAATGGCATGACAGACAGCAACTAGTTCAAGTAAATGGAATTCAGTCAAGTCATAATGCCTGATGTTTATCCAATTCATTAAGAAAATGTAAACGCCAATTCCTAAAATATTTAGGGATCAAACTAAATAACCAGCTCCACAAACCATTGGTTTTCGTGTAATGCTGCAATTTCGTGATGTGGTTTCTGTTAGTCTTTTATCAGTTTAAACATCATTCAACTAACAATAAACACCAATGAAGGCGCAGTAATATACTGGTCAAACAAACTGATAACTAAATCAACATAATTCTCTTTTTTGCACAGTAAGCTGACCCAAGATATTTTGACGAATTCATTCCTAGAGGAAGACGTTGACTTTACTCACACAATAGTTGTATCGTTTGTGTTTCATTGAAATTAAATGTAATCGAATGAAAAGTGAAGCCTAATGTACTTGTGTTGATGATGCTTATAGTCTGTTTACACCTAGGATTCTGAACTCAAGGTCCAATTTCTGAAAGTAAAGCCTCTAAAGGAATTGTCCACATCTCTTTTCCCCCTTCATTTTTGTATTAACTATCTAATTTCTATTTAAAATAGTGTGAACATAAGTTTATACTATGAAAGGTAGTTCATCGGTGAATCGATTAGATGAAAACTAACTTAAGGTTACATAAAGAATAAAAACGTTTTTTCCTTGACACAGAGACTTGAAACAATGTTTCCTCTATCAAAAAATAATTTTGTTTTAATGTGCGTGATATTAAATTGTCAAGAATAGGATTTCCTAACCTCTTTTTGTTGAATAATTTATGTAGGTGCTTTCCTTCTACCCTATTTCATCAGTGTTATAATTGCTGGTGTGCCATTATTTCTTCTTGAAGTTGCGTTGGGCCAGTTTATGTCTAAAGGAGCAATTGCGGCATGGGATATTTGTCCACTTTTCAGAGGCAAGTTTATTCAGTATTTATGACATCGGATTTTATTTTATTAAGCTCTCTTTGATTTTCTTTTATTTTAACATAATTAACTACTTTTATTGTCTTTATCCTCATAGGTATTGGATGCGCAAGTACCCTAATAAATTTCCTCGTGAACAGTTATTATACAGTTATTCTTGGTTGGGCATTTCATTTTATCTTTGCCTCGTTCACTATTGAACTTCCTTGGACTACATGTGGCAACCCTTGGAACACAGAATCATGCAGTATTGCTGAAACAAGGACAAATTCAAGCAACGTGACACGAATTTCACGTCAGGAGCTGTTGGCAGTCGATCCTGCTGCGGAGTATTGGGAGTGAGTCTGTATACTCCAAAAATCTGTTCATGGAGCTCAGTTAATCATTCTATCTTCTACACGGTTGAATGAGTTTACTGGTGTGGTGCAGCTAATGATCTAGTCAAATGCTGCTTGGTAAGCACTCATCAGGAACTTGAAATATGAAGTTCTCAGTGCTACCCAGTCAGTGGTCATATTAATTCGAGGCAACATATTCACGTTCTTCCGACCAATTTTAAAAGTTTTAGTGTTTTTTTTTGTATAGTAACGTCCATTCCCTAGTGCAAAAAATTAAGTGGAGTTTAGCACTTGTTAGTTAATAAAAAAACTGATAATCAGTGTAATATAATACTCGTTTGACAGATTATACCCAAAATCCATGAAAGCATGAATAAGCAAAGACGCTTTCTTAAGTATAAATAAAAATTAAACATGTGTTTCATACAACCCATTGCCCTTATTATTTTGAACAAAGGAAAAACGAACATATTTGCAGGAGAACATGAAGTGGTTTTATCCTACATATGTGTTCGTACTTTCTTTGAGTATGTCTGCCTATAGTATAACATGTTTCTTTCATGTCCTAGGACCCAACTTTCTGAATTCTGTTTGAGCGTTGTAAGTATCTTGCGACTTCTTTAATTAATCTAGATACAGTTACTGACTTATTATGACTCTGCCGCTATTCAATCTGATAATTGTTACAAAACACCTAAGCAATTACTGCTTCAGTATTTATAAAACATTGAAGAAAACACAAAGACAGCATCGTTCATAAGCCGTAAATTATAATCCTGTAAAGCCCAAATTAATCTTTTAGTGGTGCCTAACAACAAATGTTTCAAGCCCCCACGGTAAAAACTATCACACACCTCCTTAATCTCCTTAATATCTCAGTTCATGGGGTGACTCTTCCTTGAATTTTTTAGAGGCTTCAGACACTGAAACTCTAGGTACTTCATCATTTTATTTTAGAAAATGAATCGATAAGGCTTAGTGCAGTTCACTTCACTACATCACTGTGTAAATGTTTTTGACTGCATAAATGGTTGGTTCTACAGGGACAATAAATTTTTGTTTTCAAATATTTATTAGTGAAATTCTGATGATCTGAATATCTACAATTCTATAATGAGGTGATTTCATTTGGCAAAACAGTGATATAGTGTTATTTATTTACGGATAAGGTTTCAGGCACAGTTTATTGCTCATTGTCTAATTAAAGTGTTAGTATAACTTTAAGATTTTGTTTGCATAGTTCCTGAAAATGAAATAACCTAAAGTTTTATAATCACCTAAATTGGGATGACTTTTATAAACAGTGGTGAATAAATTTCCTTCATTTATTTGCTTTATTCTACAAATCTAACACAGCTAATTCTTTTTGTTGAATTTCCTAACTGAAATGTAAGTCCAACTTCTCCTGTTACCGATTCTGTACGAGTGAAGAAGATGGTGACGTATCCTATTTCGATAAAGGTTAAACAAATATTAAACGAACATTTTTAATAGGAATGTTGCAACAAAAATAGCAGAGATACGGGAAATATTATTGACCGTAAGATCAAAGCATAAATGATAATGTAACTATGTAAACAACGTTCGAGGGTTGTGTGAGCACTTTGATATAATTATGAGCAATGAATTGTGCTCAAAACGTCATTTGCATATAAATAATACAGTGTCATTGTGTATTTTGTCAAATAAAGTTCTCCTGTTATATGATTTTACTCTACTACAATGTCCTAATTCTACTTTTATATCTGACTAGGTAATACTGCGATTTTTTCGCCGGTGGTTCAGTGGTATAATGCTAGCCAACCACGCGTCACCCGGTCCTGGGTTCGATCTCCGGCCGACATACTCCTAAATCCCGCTAAGCTGGTAGTAAGGCCAGTAAAGAGGGGAAGTTGAATGGAAGGCTAGCAGCCCCTCCCGGTGAAAATAAGACCCTTGCTACTGAAACTTTAAAGCTCTATACTGAAGCCCCATGTTCCTCTCGGAATGTGAAGGAATAAAATAATAATGAACCAGGTTTCTTGGGAGGGCATCTTAAACTGCTTCATACAAAGTTCAGGTGTTTTTAAATTAAAAACAAGATTCCTGTGTAACAAAGACACGTATCTACTGAAAGACTTTTTTTGAATAAGTTACTTCGTGTTTGGCACATCTACTATGTGAAATTTTTCAACAGTAATACTTACCATATATAAAAGTTTCTGGCTGTCAGCACACACGGTCATGCATACACATTTATGTGATGTTTGATTTTGAACTAGTATTCACCGATAACAATTTAACAGGCCAGTATCTGTCTGCTATTTAAAAATAAAAAAATAATAGAGGTCACATAGCAAGTTTTGCTTGTATGTAATGCATTTTTTTTTGCTTCCAGGTCTAAAATCAAAATACAAACGATATTTGTAGTTAAAAAGGTTTCACAGTTTACTGGCAAAATCAATATTTTTAAAATACCAGCATTACATTATTACCATTCGTTCCTTACATTCCGAATGAAAAGTAAGGCGCGATCCTGATCGATTATCCAGCATTATTTTCAGGTGGTTCCTCGACTACCCAAAAGCTTTCATTTCCTCTTCACGTGATCTTCTCCATGTCGCCATTTAGCCGCCCAAACCACCTGCTTCTATTCGAGTCCTACTCGAGATCCTGGTGTATCAAGCCAGCTAGGATTTAATAGACAATTTCATTTGCTTAGTTCTGTATAAGTAGAGGTCTTTTGAAATAAATTTCAGTGGAATCTTTTTCACATGTTTGGTATAAGCTTCTGCAAGAAAACATTCATCAGTAGGTGGAAGTCATGAAGAAATGAATTCGTTTTCCAAAGCTTCAGATCACAACAGTCAGTGTTTCAATAAGAAATGTTTTGATCTGCACTACTGACTTACCCGTTCAGTGAAGCTATTGATTTTGGCAACTGAATAATGGTCAGATACATTTATTAATGAGTGACTTAGGACCCACTGTTTTATAAGTCTCGTTATAATTTGAAAATAGCTTTCAAATTACAGTGTTTTGCTTCAGGTAATATTCAAATAATAGTGCACTGAAACTGAATCGAATTACTATTCAGAGTTAAACAGCATTTGACAATTTTCGTATTTATCTTGAAGCTATTGAAGCGACAAAAATCTTTTCATTGTTGAGTTCGCTGCTCATCAATATCAGCTAGAGAATCACCGAAAAATAGGCAGTGTTGGCCAGCTGTTTCGTCTTAGCTTAGTTGCAATTTGCACCCATGGTGTTCAAGTTACAAGGCCAGCTCGTAATTCAGTGACTCGTGAATTTTGACCTTTGTTTAGTGCTTCCTGCTTTTCAGTAATTCTGAAACTGTTGTTGGTCTATAGAGGAATCTAAACTGAAATTAATCCGGGTCCACACAAAACCCACAACCTGAAAAGCGTTTTCTTATTTGTTTGAATATTATTAATTGTGACTGTTCACCCTCCGAAGCGGAGCATACAATCCTCTTGGACTTAAATATTTCATCCGCGCCAGTTTATCCTTCTTTAGCGTCTGACAACTGTTAAGACTTCTCACAAATGATCCCCACATGTGTTCTATGATCAGTACTCGTGACTATTATAATAACAGTAGTGAACTCTGCTTATAAGTTTCCAGGCCGTAGGTGTTGCGAACTTCCTGGAATAATTTGAGCGCCAAGTCAGATTGATTCATTATAAATTATTGAAATTAATCTCAGCGTGCTTAACAAACAATCAGAACAAGATTTTTCTGAACATTTTGCTGTGTAAGCCACAGCTTCTTCAGCAGAATTATTCGGATTTTTATTAATCATCAAAATATACGGTCAAAGAATTTTTACATAAATTGAAGTCAGTTTATTTGAAGGTCACTTGTCCATGGACATTTGTACCAATAGAAATATGTAAGCAGTCATCATGTATTTGTAATGACTAATGTCATACTGTTATTGGGTATATTTTTCTATAGTTGATTTGTGAGGATTAGTTCTGTATGAGTGTGTGTGTGTATGTTATTTGTCATATGGAAAATACGTCAATTCACATGTGATAAACATGATAATGCACTTTTTAAAAGGTCATGGAGGTTCATAGAGGCTTTTGTTGTTCTTTTCCTCTGTCTTGCTTCATAAGAGTTTGCCATGTAGGGGATAAGTCTATCCCTGCTTATTTAAAAATTACTTTAAGATATTAACAATTGTTTTGTTTGCATACATGATAACACTGCTTCTTACTTTCTTTTCAACGATGTTTAAAAAGCTAAGAAAATCCGCAGAATCCAGTTTACAAACTCATACTATGAAATAAAGTTGTGATGACATTTACGCGCAATTTGCTAAATGAATTATGATCCTAAAACATGTATTTTCACTTGCATCTATATAGGGTGTTTTCTACGGCTGTTTTCCTGTTTACACGAATTCTAGTGTGTGCATGTGTTAGTACTTATTTTCGCCTCTGTTTGTTTCCAAAAAATGTCTTGGTAGAGATGAGAAAAAATTTTTTCCTTCACGTTCCCCATTGGAACATAGGGCCTCAAGCTAGTAACTTGAAGTTTCTGTAGCAGTGTTTAATTTTTACAAGATGGGGCTGCTAGCCTGATGCCCAATTTTTCCTCTTTACCAGCATTATTTCTGGCTTAGCAAGGTAAAGGAGTGCGTCGGCCAGGGATCGAACCCCGGACCACGTGCATGGTCGGCGAGTGTCCCAACCGCTATGCCACCGACGCTAGGGATGAGAAAAATAAGACACATAAGTAAAGTTATTTTTGGAGTGTTATAACTCAGAGTTCAATAGTGTGTCAATCTAATTGCCCACGTTTATCAGATGTGACGCAGTGGTGAAGGCATTTACGGACGGCTTCAGTACTGTTGAGATATGTGTTATTCTGTTGTTAGCGTGAGGGTGACGCTTTATCACAGAGAGGATGACAGAGCAAGGATAACCGAAATAGATGTATGTTGGTCGGAAGTAAACTATGAAACATTTGAAAGTAATAATTTGAAATTGAGAGTTTGCACTCGATGATATACAAACCTTGAGTCAAATAATGTTTAAGCTTTCAAAATTAATTGACTGAATTTAATAACAGTGATGAATAGGTATGAGAAATAAGTCATGCAAATAATAAATGACACGAAAGTGAACTGCTTACGCAAAATTTTCTTATTTCTAGCTTTAATTATTACTTATGAGTATTATAAATCACTGATATTCAAAATTTATTCAGGGTAATTATATGATTTATTTTGTTGCTGTACCAGCGGTTATATACACAAACCATTTGAGTGTTTTAAATATGTTATTTTATTTATTTCAGTTATAATAACAACTTATACACAATAGATATAATTATTCCTCTTTGCTATTTATATTAACATATATGATTACTGAAACGGCAAATTTAGATGGAATCTAAGAGCAGGAATTAAAGCGAATCAATCGGCCAGTGAACAGTGACTGCTGTAGCTTGTAGGCCTTTGATATTGAAAAACACTTCGTCACTTTTCTCTGGAGAAATTGTGTGTACTGCTAAATAATTTTAGAAGTAAATGCACCCTGCGACGCTTCAACCATCGATTTGTTGGTGTTGACTGTTTTCTATCAGTCACGCTTGCAATGTGGTCACCAGGCTAGGTGACTTGCTGCCAAAGCGTCTGCAGGCAATAAACAGTAAGTCTTGAATCTGGGTTCCTTCCCTAACTGTAGTCATAGATAATTCATCACTGCAACCTCTAAGGAACTGGTGCGTCTTACCAGAGTCTGCGAGATGTTGATTCTTTCAAGATTTCAGATATGTCTTACTGATGGCTGCCAGTAAACAGAAAACCTAAGTTTGCGGCTTTCTGGCGATTTTCTCCAACTAAATAACAGATATAAGCTACTCATCAGTTGACGGAATAGTCAGTGATGCCTATTATGATAAAAAAGAGGTGTTTTTATTCTGATTAGGAGAAAACCGGCAGTTGCTAAAATATACTATTAAAAAGTTTTTTGTAATAAAAGTATTTTATCTTTGCCACGTTTTGTTTTTATCCCAGAAATCGTGTCCTGAGAATCTCCAGTGGTATCGATCATTTAGGAACAGTTCAGTGGGATTTGGCTTTATGCCTCTTGTTAGCTTGGATAATAATTTTTCTGGCTATCTGTCGAGGGATAAAAACCTCTGGGAAGGTAAGTTTTATTTAACTGACGACCACTTCTGAGTAATATAATTAATATACACGAAAACGTTTTCTTAATGGCGTAAGTATTCTATTATTTTCACTAAAACATAAAACAGTTGGTAAAGAATTTATACGATTATTCAAATTTTATGATAGTGAAATTATACACATGCTTGATCAAATACGGAAAGTTATCTCAAGTTTTTCCTTCATACTATCAGCGACTGTATCATATGAACTGTGATCAAGACTTCACCAAATAGTTCCCAAATAATTGGGTGCCGAGTGAAAGTAGACATATGTTGAAATTTCTATTTGTAAAATCTCAACGAAGTTGAAATAAGTAATTCCAACGTTTTGTTCAGTAAACTGGTTCGAACTTCTTCAAGGAAATCAGTTAATATGCCTGTCAGAGGCTGAGCATCTTCTTAAATTCACTTACTAAGATTACGGGGATTTACATAGAAGTCAGTCGAAAATGTGGATTGCAAAATTTCTTTTTATCCCATTCAGAGTTCAGAGCCGTTTGAGAAGAGTATTAATTCGATGATATTAGATGGTTGGAAGCCTTGGACCTAGGTTTCGTGCTAGTTGGCACTCACTCGTCAACAGGGCGTATCTGCAACCTTGAAGGAACTCATGTCCCTTCTGTGATTCGAACCGGCGTCATCCAGTGAGTACTGCGGTCAGAGACATTACCACTGAGCGATTCATGTAGATATTAAGACTTACACTGTTTATGACAATATCAATATTGTGAAGGATGAATGCGTAATCTTCAAACTTTAACCAAACAAATGAGAGAACAAAGGAATAGACAATTTGTGATGCAGATGCAGTTAATGTTGATGGAGACGTTGTTAGTTAAGTGATCCTATTTACTCTAGAATGTGAAGCAGTTTAATGTGCAATTATTATGTAATCGGACACATTAATCAGGTCAGCAGGCCCTGATTAAATAGAATACGGGAGCACAGAAAGTAAGCAAAATACACAGTTTTATACCACATCAGAATAAGAAATCTAGGCTGGGCGTGATTACATACAACGCTAAACCGTGATGGGACGAATAATTTGAAAAAAAACGTTTCAGAAAGGTGAACAAAAGTTAATCGCTAAAGCTTTGTCTATAAGTTCATAAATGAAATGAATCAGTACCTGTTCCAGATAAGTAGAAACTTAAAAGCAGATTGTGCGGAAAACATCATTCACTATATAATTTTGTCAAACTGTGAAATATACTCGGTGAATAAGTTCATGCAGAATGAAATGTTGAAACACTACCGGACTTCTATCAGTTTTGCTCAATTTAGGATAAATTGAATATTTCTACAAGTTTGACTTACACTGTCTAACTTCATGTCGTCGGTTGGACTTCATCAACAAATTATTAATTTGAGAATCTTTGTGTTTTTACGTGTTAACAGCTTTTCCACATACATAGTTGTATTTGAGCCTTTTAGAAAGGTGTATACTGACTGTTTGGTGCATTTGAGATTCTAGAAATCAATAGTTAGAGATTTATATTGACACAGTTTGAAATTGTTCTTGATCACTTAGATGTGTTCACTCCAGAATATGAAAATGCCGATAGAATTTCACCTAATGACCCTTTCCTCAGCACACTTTTTTATTGCAGTTTCATAGGATTTTATCTACTTTTGTGTGTGCTTTTCTGAAGTATGACAAGTGAGCCTCATGTACGTTTTCTTGAAGTTCCGCATTAACAATTTATGCATTTAATAACATAGGTAAATTAGACATTTTTATGCCATGCTTGCTTTCCGTCGATTGAAAAGACAGTATACTGAAGTCACCATGCCATAATTGAAACTGTATTAAATCTTAAATTATAATGCATTTAAGCATTTAATTCGAACAGTATACACTACATATAGCAAATTGGCAGAAGTTAGAATTCACATACCCATATGTTCTACCCCAGTGGCCCAGTGGTCAGGTAGAGGGCCTCGCAGCTTTAAGGTTTTGAGTTCGATCCACAGCATTGTTATGGGTAGGGGGATGGCGTACTGATGAAGAGTTCGAGACTGGGATGAAAAAGCTGTCCAGCACTCTCTAGTTTTATTGATTCTGCGATCAAACATGGACGCTATTCACTATGAAATTGTCGTAAATGTATCACTAGATAAAGTTATCATTTCCAAAGATGCACGTCTTAAGGAAAGAATTTATTAGCAGTAAAAATTAATAAATTAATAATACCAAATGTTTTTTGACACTATTACAAATATAAAAAACTGCATACTGTGAAATAACATCCTACGGAATACTTTTAACTAAATCACATTTCACTGAGATGCTGTCTTCACTACCATGATTGAGTTTTGTTACTGATGTATTGCGCATGCTGTATTTGTAAAGTGATTCGGAAGATTCAATATTTCGAAATTTTCCCTGTAATGAATGAAATTATTTTTGTACCTTTTCAATTCACTTCAACCAAATCATAATCAATTTTGAAATTATATTATTTTAGGTTATGTATTTCACTGCAACCACACCTTATCTATTCATGATAACACTACTGATACGCACAGCTCAACTGGAAGGGGCATCTACCGGTATTTCATATTATCTGAAGCCAGATTGGAAGAAACTGGCTGACATGACAGTAAGTATTTTGCGTAAAACAAATAAATCAATTATGTTGAAATTGTTGTTCTGAATTTCTAGTTAACTTGTTTTACTGAACTGAAGTAGTTGGATTCTTTTGACATGTTGGATTCTTGGACGAAGTGTACAACGATGCCTAAGGGTTGAGAATCTATAATTAAGTTGATGGTGATTATCACTGGAATCCAAGCTGCTACTTTTGGCTTATTCAGGAGTCATTAGCGAGACGTACCTATATACTTAATTTCTGGTATTGTTCCCACTGAGATTCGAACCCAGTAGCCATCCTTTTAAATGCCGAAGTGTTATCTACTGGGTCATGACAACCACATGTATCAAATAGAACATTGATGTTATATGGGTGTTTGTTGAATTCCGCGCATAACAACTGACACGTTCTATAACACACTGTGAACACTGTTTGATTTCTTAAGGTTATTTCTCCTGTAGCTGTGTAACTACTTTTAGTTATATTGATTAAGTGGGTGGAATACTACTTCTAAGATCACTACAAAGAGCAGATAAGTAAGGCAAGGTGAATCAAGGAGAATTTCATAAATCCTATTTATAAATATGATTTAATTTACCTGATATCTGATATAATCTAGAAAACGAATTCCTTTCTTCTTCTTCTTTTTCAATTCTCATAAATATCAGCCCCATCATTCAATAGTAGTATTGCTATATGAAAATATATAGATAAGAAAAGCATAAAAAAACGTTCATATTTTACTGTAAAGTCCTTTTACTTGAATCATGAATAGATTTCACAGTACCTGTATTTATTAAAGTGTATATTTTCAACTACCATGCGAAACATTTAGTACTAAAGAGTATTAGACTGATTGAATTATCATTAACAAAATGTTTTTCATAGTTTTTGTGGGTGGTTAATCTAAATACAGTTCAAACGTAAAGCGAAGACAGTATTATCATGGATGCATAAAAACCCTTTTTTACACTTCCTATCCACCATGATTTTTTCGGCTCCGGAAATAAATATAGCTGCCTGTCAAAAGGTGCATTAGCTGCACACTATATTACAACACCAAATGATAATACTTGATAGTTATTACTTATTAAAGGTAGATGATAAGAATATATTCAAGAAAAAAATAGTTCATCTTCTGAAATAACACCGTAAAATATGATTATATTGTGTATGGAACCAAGTGATTATTTTTTCTTCTTTTTATCACCACGTGATAACTAGTTATCGTTAAACACTGTGCTAAGCTTCCGAAAGGTAACTAGGTGTATTTGCGAGCTAAGGTGAATAACATTTTCTGTAAAGAAATATGTATAATAATAGGTCTTGAGAGTTTTCGTCAGTTTAAAGATACACCTTCCGCTTAATGCACACTAAACAGTGAAGTGGGTCTTTATTTCACAATCGTCTTCTGATGTATATACATACATAAGGGTTAAGAATTAGTACTGCAACGGTGACAGCAAATCAATACTATTCATTTCATATGTGATGATTTCCCTAAATTAAAGTACTAAGTGGGCTAGCAATTTTGGATCGGGTCCCAGTGGCTTAATGGTTTACGAGCTCGCCTTGTAACCAGAAGGTCCTGGGTTCGAACCCCGGTGGGTGCGTACTGCTATAGAATCCCAAACCAGGACGAAATAGTTGATTGTCCAGCACTCCCAGGTTTTCCAATGGTTCCGCTCATGATGAAATCCTGTAACCAAACAACCAAATCCCTACAAACCAATACCTGAATTTTCGAGTAGTCAGCAGAATCCTCTGAATTTTTGTATTCTAAATTTGATAACTGCTGGCATAACTGAATGAAGTGGAACTCGAAAGATAACAAAAGCGTTTAGTTCAGTCACTGCATAGTTATTTTCACATTCTTTTTCTTTACTATATTTATTTGTATATCCTAACAGCGAATGTCTAAATAAGTATCTTTTCATGATAAAACGGTCTACTTTTCTTATAAATTTGTCTTTTTATGAAGTTATTCACTATTGTCAGAAGTGATATTAGTATGATATGTGTTACTGAATGTACTTTTACATAAACGGGGTATCATAACCTTGTCTTCTGATTAGGTGAGATAATTTAAAGACGACTTTTCTTTAGATTTAACTGAAATATAATCTCGTGACGAAATTATTGATTTATGTGAGGGTTAGTAATTTCCTTTTGCCTTAATTTAAGGAAATGTAGTTACTTTGTACCAGTTTACACAGTAAATTATCAAGGTTGATATCGCCAGAGAAATTATCATAAACTGGATGAACTACTGATTTGCAAACAGTATTGGATAGTTATTGCATTCTAATTTGGTATCAGCAAATTAAAATTCACACCAGTATAAATTTAGAAGTTGTATGCATCGAATACTTACAGTATTTTAGTCAACAGCTGCACATACAGCTGTTGAACAGAGATAAAAATTCGTACATAGAGTAAAGTTTGTGGTTGGTGTTGACTTCAAAAGTTTCCATTATGCTGAGAAACCTTTACGCTAATCAGAGTATTTATGCAAGTGATTAACTTTCAAAGTGTTATAGCTGAATTAATTACTTATTTACTCATAATTTCCATAAATTCATGTTAAATAAATTAAAAAACAGTTCATTTTTGAATAACCTGAATATTAAACTGAATGCTTCATATGTTAATGGATGAATAACTTATTAAGTGAATTTTTATTTATGCAGTGAAGTTTTAATCACTTCATTTGTAGATTTTATGTAAAACGATTAATTTTGTAGAATGGGCAAGTGAGATAAAGTTACCGAGTTGAAAAAACACTTAACAGATATCCCTTGTTAAAAATGTAGGTGTCATAGTCAAATATTAAGCATAGAATATAATGTCTATACTGAATGCCCACTGACAATATGCTTTATTATTTCTGTCAGTTAATAATGATGGACAAAAAACTATCACTGAGCTTCACAACCAACTGTTCTTATCATTTTCAAGTATTGACTTTGTAATGATTTTGTTTGATTGGATGGAGGATTTAATCATGTGCTGACATCAATTAGAGAACCATTGGAAAACCAGCTAGGAGTACTGCACAGCCAACTATTTCGTCCTAGTTTGGGACTTTTTAGCAGTACTCACCCACTGGGGTTCGAACCCAGGACCTTCTGGTTACAAGACGAGCTGGTAGACCATTAAGCCACTGGGACCCGATCCGATGGCCAGCCAGTGCATGAATTCTAACTTCTGCCAATTTATGAAATAGGGTGGCCACTTTGCAATGTCTTTATCGATGAATTACTGCCTCACTTTCAACCTAGGAAGTCGTAACCAGTGGGGTACAACATGTTGTATGCGTACAGATGAAGATTCTCAAACTAGGACGAAACAGCTGTTCAGTACATCCAGTGGTCTAGTGGACAATGCTTCAGCGCTTGAAACCATGGTCACTGGGTTCGAGCCAGTGGCTCAGTGTTCTTATCATCTCAAGTGTCAACCTTATAAATGATGGGAGATGACTTTTAATAGTTTGGATTAGTTGAAGATTGATTTTATGTTTCTTAATGTTTTTTATCTGCGCCTAATGTATTGTCATTTGTATCACAATGTTTCGTTTTATTCTTGGTAAACGTTGAAACATTTGTGAAGATCAGATTTTTACAACATTTTATTGGTGTTTTTTTATTGAATAAAGGTATGGTCAGATGCTGGTACACAAATATTTTTCAGTTATGCCATTGGTCTGGGTGCGCTAACAGCACTGGGTAGTTATAATAGATATCATCATAATTCCGTTCGGTATGTCATAAACTGTTAATTGCTCATTTGAAAGTACAACGATGGTTTTTCTTTAAACTTGTTTCATTTCAGTGAAAGCCATTTAGTTTGTCCAATAAATTATTACACGACCAGTAACTTCCTTAAGGCAATTCTGTTAGTTTTATAGGCTGAGAGTTAGACTATAGTTGAGTGGCAATTCATTCAGTTGTATAATTGTTTTAGTAACCTTCAAATGCTGTACAACGCACTTCAGATTGACTATTTTTTCTCTAACGTTGTGATTTAAAGATTCCTGGAATTTTCTTCCTAATTTTGGTATATGCTATGAGCTCCCTTCATCCTTCTAGACACAATCTTTAGCACCCAAATGAAGACAGCCTGTCTAGCTCAGTGCTTTGGATCAAGGATAAATGAAAGTTTTTATTTTTCGTCTTCACACCGACTGCAGGAATCTTCTTTTAATAACACTGACGAAGTCAAAATGACAGATTCTTCTTGTTATTCCTAGGAGACAGTATATATTCATCGGTGAAGTATTAATCAGTTTAGTTAGGGATGTTTCTCTTAAAAGTGTGAAAAAAACTCACTATTACTTAGTATTGTGAATTTAGCACTGTCCATAAACTAACATACCTCGACAGGTCTCTATAAATGAACCGACAAAAGTAAAGGTTAGTATTTATTGATCAGTTAGTTCATGGATTCCACTGCTTAATAACAATATGTGTCACCAAATATGCTTGAGTTTAGTTGAGGATTATGATACTGCAAAAGCTGAAAACAGAATGATGATCTTTTCTTAGTCATTAATCAGTTCATAAAATAAAATTTTAAATAGTCAGTTGGTAATTTGTAGTCAATATTATAAGGATTACTTTTTGCAAATCTGAGAATTCCAGGTGCTCATTGCATTGTAAAAGAAGTATTTTATGTGGTAGTCAATACGTATCAAATAGCCTTGACAATGTGTGATAGCCCACACCAGAAGGCGTGATTGCGTGTTTACAGGAAACGTGATGCTTGTTCTGGGAAAGAATAGGTGTTTTAAGTCTTATACGTTAAGCTATACTGCTTACATACAATGAAAATTACATTTCTGAGTGCCAAGTTGCAGGGATTTGAATAATTTCAGCTTGGGTTTCATCGCGCATCGATATTATCTAGAGAACTACTGAAAATCAGAAGACACTCAATAGTCATTTCTCCCAGTGTACACCCACGACACATCAGGAAACAAACCTGCAACATCCAGGTCAAGAGGAGAACCAGTTAAAAAATTCAGCTACCATGGAAATAAAAATTATGAAATGTTTTTGGGACATTAAAGTCTTATATTAATAATATAAACGTCAGCTCTGTTACTTCTCGCTAAATGAGTTTTGCTATTTTCCTCGAAATTCATTTTCGCTAAAATTTATGTTTTAAAACAGAGATTGTCTACTATTTGCCGGTGCAAATACATTTACAAGCTTATTGGCAGGTTTTGTTATTTTTGCAACTCTCGGTAATATGTCCTATGTATCTAAAGTGCCAATACATTTAATTGCTGAATCTGGACCAGGTTTAGCATTCATCATTTATCCAAAAGCTTTGGGGACAATGCCAGGAAGTCCAATTTGGTCGTTTTGTTTCTTCACAATGATTATACTTTTGGGCATTGACAGTATGGTGAGTTTTGTTTCTCAATATATTGGCCAAAAATTGAAAACACTTTATCTCTCTACAAAGTAAGATATTTTAGCACCGTTACTAATGTTTATGGTGATCAGATTTGTTGTTCAAGACACCCAGCAGTCAATCTGATCTACAAGACAAGTTATATGGTAAAAAAATTGAAGTAAATAAGTAGCAAAAGTTCAGGAAAATGGACAAGGGTGGATTGTAAAAATGTGGTGGAGGCACTCAGGTGGCATGACATGCCACGCCGTCGCGTGAAACCTGGGCGGGAGGCGGTGAATTGGAAGTTCGAAGTGCGGAGATAATGCGGAGAGGAAATTAAGGTTTGTATGTAGTCGTGCAACCAGTTGAAAAGGACTTAAAGTAGAAGAATAGAATGAAGATATTCTGTTGTTACTGAATTTCAATCGGAACAGAATAGAAGAATGATATCTGCGTTTTGGTGATTTATTTGTATTCATGGCTTTCACTTTGTATTTCTGGATTCGAGTCTTGTTGGGTACGTGACCACTGACTAAAATGCAATCTTGGTGTTTTGCTAGCCAACAGTGATCACGTATTTGAGATATTTTCGGCCTGGAAAAGTTCCAGTACAGGCATACCATATGAGGAATATCCAAATATTCATTTATTGGTGGCAGATTTTCAGATACATTTACGGAAGATTTGACAAAAAGGCATCACGGGGTTCCAGTAACACAGACTTGATTTATTCAGCTTACTGAAAACTGCTGGTTATCACGAGGACAAATTGTGAGTTACAAGAAATCGGAGGTTACATTCTGTGGTTAATTCTCTTTGGTTTCTAATTAATCTGTTAACTGTGTCATGAGGTGGTCAAATACTGACGAAATTGATAGTGTATACCGTAAGAATGATTCAAGCTAGGTTCAAACAGTAGTAGGTCCCTGTTGTATTTTTTGACTGAGGTCGAATTATGATGATTTTGATTGCAGAATTAATCAAATACTTGATAGCTTTGACACTTATAGTCCAAAAATAAGGTTCTTCATTTTATAAATTTACCGTCATTTGTAATAGCAAATTTTCTGAGCGCTAAATTCATCTAATGACTAGGAAACAAATGTATGCAGAAGTTTTATACAGAATGGGTTTTCAGTTCAGTGCACACTAACAATGTATGTGTTTACAGTTCTTAGGATCTGCTTATATAAATAAAGATGTACTAATTTGAAATGAAAATCATTCAGCTGGATACATCAACTCATTGGAACGTTTTGTGTCACTCACACGTTTTTTTAGTAGACATTGTATTGAATTAACTGCAGTTACCTCTGAAACCTGTATAAACATTTACATACTGTGAACTGAATTGTTTGTTTTTAGTTCGGTGGAGTGGAAGGCTTCATTGCAGCTATTTCGGATTACTTTCCTCAAATGATATCCAACACCTGGTACAGGGTTAGCTTTGTTGCAGCAACATGTATTATCTCCTATGCTATTGGTTTATTTATGGTAACTAATGTAAGTATTTATTTTTATTTGTGGATATTTGTTATATTAACTTTTTCACGATAGGCCCGGTGTCCTGCCCTTAACTGACTGGTAGGTAACTGGTTGGGAGGTGTAAAAACTTCAATTTGACTTTTATATTTTTTCTAGAATAGTGTTTTTACCATTTAAATGTACTCTGTGCAACTGAGTCACCAACAGTTTGGTTTTTTGGGTGGAATTACATTATTTTTTATACCTGGTTTAGGTACGACTATATGATATAATTTTTTAATTGATTTTAGTGGCCTGAACCAATTTTAGGTATATTGGATTGGCTAGAGTTCGTTTAAGTGGGATAAAATAAAAAAAGAGGAAACGTAGATATTATACATCTTCAAGGCGACTCTGATTTTGATCTTAGTTACGAAGAAAGCGGATGACAGTTTACTGCGGTCATAAAGATTAAATAAGTCAATTATAGATGGGCTGAATTATATCAAATGGGGTAAAACACAAACAAATTCGTGATTCGTTGTTTTCATAATCCTAAACGTTTTACTATTTGAAAGTGACTTCTATGTTGGTGTGATATTCTTCCTTTCTGTTTCACTTAAGTTTTACTTTTATTTTATTCTTAACTATTAAAGCTTCTATGGAAATGAAGGTAAATTTTTAAAAAATCAACCTAAAATCATCCTAAATATGATTCGTTTAGGAGACTAGTGATTCATAACAGGACTTATTCCACATATGCATTCAGTTATACAGAAATTAATCCAGTAAGATCTAGTTTCTACTGTAATCCTCGTTTTATGCTAGAGGAGGATGGTTCATTCTGAATTTCTCTGCATGTGAAGCCCAGTTAATTTGTTGTTATGTAGTTTATTATTCATGGTGTCTCCGCAAAGCTCTGTCAGGGATGAGGCTGAGTCAACTTTCATAAATCTAATTATTATAACTTTAACAGTGATAGTTCACTTAAGGTAAACCGCACCTGATTCTATAATTATGCATTATCTGTCAAACAGTTGATGTCCATTATAACCTTATCTTCAAAATCGAAATTTGAATAACTTCCTCGGTGTGTTTTGTAACACTGATATACTTTAGTTGCCAATATCGCCATGATAAAACTGGCTATACTAATACTGGATTTAGTAAGATTTGACTGCCTTCCAGCTGATTTTATCTCGCAAATAATAAATAGCCATATAGACACTAGAAGTAATGGGACTACGCACAGCTGCTTTATTCATGTTTGCAAATCTTCAGCTATATACTCTCATGACCTTGAAATCTGTTGGTCTTAAGAAATAATAAGTGCTCTAGATTGAAGAGTCGCAAAGTAGAACAATATCTCGATACAGAGAGAACCTACTGTATCCTATGCTATAACTCACAAATATATAAATAATTTATATATAATCTGACCCCAGAATCAATTAATTGGCTAAGTTCTGTTCAAGGTTTCTGTCGTCGGGACTACAAAGTATTGAGATAATTAAAGTGTTTGACTTTTATTTAAAGTCAGTGAGTTAAGCTAAAGAGACAAATTAGGAAGCAAACAGACTCAGCCCATTGACAAACACTTAATTATTATAGTTTCCTCTTGCCTAGTGAACTGATTGCTGACCAAATCTCAAAACAGCCAGGCGAGCACCAACTGATTGGCCTGCATTAATTTCAGTGCTACGAATAAATCTTGAAAACTACTGTTGAAAAGTTCGCTGTAGTCGAAGACCCACCAAAACCACAGCGAAAAATCATGCCAAAATTTTTGAGCAAGTCATATAAACATCATATACATATTCACAACTATGAATCCGAATAACGCAAAAATAAGAGTTTCGTTACCTTCTACCAGCTTCTTACAGCCTAAATAAATTATTAAGTTTATGCAGAGAAGAGTTTTAACATACTTGTAAATTTTACATGACCTCAGTTGACAGTAAGTTCCGAACTTAGTGAACAGTGCTCAGAAAATTACACTTATGTAGTTTTTACACAGGCAGTTCAAGTTTAAACAAAGTAGATGTACGCATACAACGGTAAAGGATTTACTTCATAAAGACGGGAGGTGCGTAAGATGATGAGTAACTTATAAGTTGGGTAACACTGTACTAAATTCAACTCAAATCATAGAAACAAGAGACGAGCAAAATTGCGTTATATCAAATGGGGTCAGGTTAAAGCCGAGGATTACATAATCAAATCGTTGTAAGCATCCTTGTCTATCAGTTTCTATTTTAGGAGATCTCTCATGTTAACTCCAACTGAGTATACAAATTTACGTGTATCTGTGGGAGCATTTAATTTGCGAGAACAGAAAGAAGGGTACACCTCCAGTTTTCTGAACATCTACCGAAAAGCCCAAGGGAACCAACGCTTACACTAGTGCCATTATCAGGCATCTCCTTGAGAAAGGTAATGAGGTGGAAATAGGAAAATCCTTTAAAATTATCAATAGACAAAAGGCTCAATTCTCCTCAAGTTTGCCGAGGTAGTGTTCATCAAAAGCCTGAAACCCTATTTATGTGTTCAGAAAGAAGCAGTTGTCAGTCTTTCTTTGCCCCGGCAACTAGATGTCTTTACTCTCTCCTTCATTTGATTATATAATTTTTGGCTCTAACCTGACCCCATTTGATATAACGCAATTTTGCTCGTCTCTTGTTTCTATGATTTGAGTTGAATTTAGTACAGTGTTACCCAACTTATAAGTTACTCATCATCTTACGCACCTCCCGTCTTTATGAAGTAAATCCTTTACCGTTGTATGCGTACATCTACTTTGTTTAAACTTGAACTGCCTGTGTAAAAACTACATAAGTGTAATTTTCTGAGCACTGTTCACTAAGTTCGGAACTTACTGTCAACTGAGGTCATGTAAAATTTACAAGTATGTTAAAACTCTTCTCTGCATAAACTTAATAATTTATTTAGGCTGTAAGCAACTGATATCATACCGTGGAATTTATTGCCCGTAATCTCTCTGGGAGATGATGTTGCTTCGATTTTCTAGACCGCTGCTGCGCATAGGGTGTTGTCGTTCTTCTAGACAAGTATTGTTACCTGATGAAGGTTTTAGTTTCCCGGATATTTAGACGTGTCCTAATCAGAACACATCTGTAACCTTGAATGTTATTGAGTGTTAGTTTTGTCTACAATCGGGCAGAATTTGACCGGTTGTGGCCCTTCAAGCCACTAATTATCAAATTTTGGAGGGTCTGTTTGTATTGTTTTTCATGGTATGCAAGAATTGCTAAAGGTGTTTGTTTGTTATTCTCTCCGTATCACCCATGTTCATCCATATTGGTATTATTCAGTTTCTTAACTTGTATAATACTTTCACAAGTGTAGCGACTCAAACTGACGTTTATGTGAGAATCGATCAGTCAGTCGTATTGTAATTATTAACCCGTTCTAAAAATGCACTTTATCACAGTCTCTAACGGAATGGTATGTGGCAGTTTCTATCCTTTTCTTTTTGCTTGAATCTTTACTTCTATAAAGTAAAACAGTAGAAGCATTTTCACCTGACAAGCTTTTCTAAATGATTAAATTTATCTCTTCTGAATTTTTATTTATATAAATGAAAAATGAAATTATTAGTTGATAAAAACTAGAGAGAGAGAAAAAAAGGAATTCAATCTTCATGATTTATATATTTCAGTAGGCGTATGCTTAATGCTTACGTAACACTGATGTGTCTATCGATCGACAGTTTTTATACATTTCACTAGCCAAACAATTGACTAGACAATCAGTGTTAACTAACATACCGTAGATTATCTTTATTGCATAATACAGACAACCTTAGGGTATGCAAAAATGAAAGCTGTGAAAACTAATTTTGACTTTTCTTCATATTATTACACTTATTGTATTTCGTGTTACAGATATCTAGTCTAATAACACATAGGATGTATCTGCTCTTATGTGTACCTGTGCTTGTTCCATAGAAGATAAGCATAAGCTAATTTTAAAACTGTCGTCACAAGTATTTTGTTCGCCAGATGAATAGAAAAGATAGCTTGTATAAATTAACTTTGCTTTTATGGTGTGTGTGTGTGTGTGTTTGTATGTGCTGCACATACAGATCAAAAATTACTTATCTACCCTCCGTTACCGGGATGATCAGTATATTTTGATATGACAAGTATGATAGTAATCTTTCTGCCTTTTCATATCGATGTTTTTATTTTATTGATCTTCCATAAATACAAGTTAAGTAAAACCATATCATGTTTTGACTTATTGTCCATTGCATTGAAACGAAACCACAAAGACATTGGCTAGCACAAGTGAACCAGTGAAAAGTTCTGAGCTGTTACCAAGCATCAGTAAATTAGTTTTTAGTTCTCAGGAAATTTTAATTTGAAAGAAGAGAACACGAAGTTCAGCAGAGATATCTTTTCAGCGATTTCATTTTCAAAAGCTGTACGATCGCATTTAAATACATAATTTTAAGTAGATACAGTTTTTACCTGATTCCACATAATTACAAAGGCGAAGAAAAGGTGACAATTATTTTAAACGACATATGGTTTACGAGAGGCGTAAAAACAAAATTACACAGGATTAAAACGAATTACAGGTGTGAATAAAATGATCATGGAAACAAATTGAAATAATAGTTTTCAACTTGAAATGGAATTTCGGAGGTGTGAATATAGATTACACGAGCCTTAGAAACAAAAGCTACACAGGATTAGGATATATTTGCCTTCGTAATTATGTGAAATCAAGTAAAAATTGTATCTATGTACAATTATGTATTTAAATGCGATTGTACAGCTTTTGAAAATGAAATCGCTGAAAAGATATCTTTGCTGAACTTCGTGTTCTTTTCTTTGCAATGTCCTAATGGGAATTTTCATTTGCTCAAAGATTCAAAGTTAAGTCCTTTAACCCAAAAATAGTAACATAACTGTAGAAAAAATTAAGCCACGGTTTAATTTTCCTTGCAACTTTTGACGCATACAAATGTTTTTAAGTTTGTAGTTTAAAATTTAGGTTAGTAGCAGAGATTAAGTTGTGCTACTATTTGAGATCAGCCTTGAACTGAATAGTTTATAAATGGAATAAGAAGAAAGATCACAAGGACCTGGTGGGTGTGTGTCAGTGTGGACACTTTCGAATCATACCACTAACAGTCTTCAACCAATGATTAGTAGTTAAGTGTCTTAAACCTATTAACGTGATTCCAGACAAAAATCAAATTCTACTTGGGTTAGCATTATGTTTTGGTCTGATTAACACTAACTCATATACCAGAGTAAATTACTTCTCAAGGACAGAGGTGGCTAGGTATACGCAACACGTTCGCTAGTCACCTCAGTCGATAGTAATTTACAATCTGACCGATTAACCCTCCCGCTTTACCCCATACCTTGCCCTTTACGTCATCATTAGTAACCATATTGCACTACACAGTGTGATAAATTCAGTGCAGATCCCAATGGTAAAACTGCTAGTGTTTTTGTACTGTCAATATTCATTGTCTACTTAGCATATATATAAAACAGGCATGGAAAAAATTGGCGCAAAACACACAATCTTTGACAAATACCCGAAATTCTGTTTTGTGTTAAGTACCACTCAGTTTGGCGAATGTCAAAAAAGTCCTAAGTTTGTTGGGATTTAGTCAGCCAGTCAGAGAACCACAAAAATGAAGTTTGTTTATAAGTGTGTTGTTTAGATTCACTCAGTCGGATATCTCAAGAATATTTCTATTGAAAGCACCCAAATCAACCAAGTAGTCCAGCGTTTGTTGGAATTGAGAATTGTGTTACTTAATTGGTGATGTTTTTGATATCGGACGAAAACCCTACGTTTGCAATAAAGTCAGCATAGCCTATACTGCTGAATAACAGATACATTTCAGAAGTGAATCTTTGAACTGTAGCTAAACAGGAAGTATTACTATTGGCTAGTGCCGTAAACAGTTTTATCTCTGTTCATTGAATCGATATGGAAAAAGGGCAGTAGAAATAATGAAATAACAATGTTAAACAGGTGGAAGAAATGATCATGATTATGGATAACAAACTGTGTTCAAATCGCTACTTAGTCAATAGTACCGCATCAGATGAAACTATTTATTACGGAACTATAGTCTATTACAGTCTCCATTATTACGCACTGACCAATATTGGAGTTCTAAATTGTATATTTGAGCTGAGCATACATCTTAATAAGAAACTACTACTATTTCAAAACTGACAATACCTCAGCTAAAAACATAATTAATTTATGGTAGTTAGATATCCTTTGGGCAGAACAATTTTTCGTTTTCGCCTGTAGTAATTTTAAATGAAACAGAAAGTCCTCCAAATTATTTATCAAGAAGACGATCTATCTTGCTTAAAATCAAAGGGGGTGAATAAGTTCAAAATATGGATACACTTGATGCCATTAATTACATAGTTTGCATGTAGGTAACTTAAAGATTACTACTGTGTGATTTTCGAACGTCTTTACCCCACTTTGAATGCTCTTACGTGTATCCATTGTATATATATATATATATATATATTGCATATTTAGGTAAGTTTATACTAACTGGAGTATTTCACAATAACCTGTTTTAATCTAACCTAATGCCTTTGGGTTGTTTTCTTGCAATATCGTTTTAGGGTGGTATGTACATATTTCAGTTATTTGATTATTATTCGGGTAGCCGTATTATATTACTTGTTACATTTATGGAATGTATCGTAATTGGATATGTGTACGGTAAGATTTAGTACTTTTAACATTTGTGAATAAAGTCGTTTTCATTACACGTTTTCGTATTGAGGTCATTTAAGTCAGTCTTCATTTACAGAGTCGCCTTGACAAATAATAGGTTAGTTACTAGAGTTTTTGAAAATTGTTGATATATCACTTGAGAGCAGTTGACTGAAAGCCCTAGAAGTTCGTAGCACTCATCGACACAGCTCGCTAGTAGCCTTGATGGAAACAGCTTATTTTTTGAGACACTAGATTGTAAGGGACAGGAATTATTTTGGTTAACAGCTGTCATCTTCCGATTATCCACATATTTTCACAAATACAATCAACTAGTCTTTGAGCTTTAAGCAAGCTATAAATTTTTGCTTAACCTTAGTTTTACTGAGAAGAAGTTACACAAATGTTGTTTGCAGAAATATTACAGTTGAGGTATAAAATATAACGTTATGATACATGCTGCTTTTATCTTTTCATCATTCAAAGTAAATTTTCGAGGTAACTAACTAACTCAGGTACCTGTTCATTGTTGTATAAATTTGTTCCGGTTGAATTGCACCCTGTCAGTCAATTGTGATGTTATGGCATTGATGTGTTTCAACCTGTAGTTTATGTGGTTGGAAAAAATTGCACAGTTATCGAGCAAATCTCATAATTTCTATTAACACTGTATAAGGACACATATGAAAATAAACATTCATTTCTACATGTCTGGGTAGATTGCAAGATTGTCGATGAAGATTACGGGTTTTTAAAACAAAAAAAGCTTTATAACTTTAATTATTTACCGGCTATGAAATTCTATATCAGTTTAGAATATCATGCTAAAACATTGTCGTATCATTTAGGGATTTCTAAATGAATTGGGCCTTTTATTGACGAAGTTATTAACGTTTTTAACGGAATATATTTGATTTATTTATTAGTAGTTAGTTGGCCATCAGCATGAACATCCATATATTATTATAGAATCTTTTAGTGACTTGTTAATTTTCTCAACTTTTGACTTATTTCAGGTTGGAAGCGTTTTGCTGATGACATGAAATCAATGTATGGCTTCTCTTTGAAGTGGTTCTGCTGTTTTTATCTATGCTTTATAACACCATTATTCACAATGGTATGTGAAAAGCAAGTTTAAATCGCCTATTTATCATAGTTAAATAAAGCAACATGTGCTAATGAATTTTTCTCAATCCGCTTCAAATACTACTCATAAGTAACTCCTTAGACAACCATGCAAAAAAAATTCAAAAAATGAAATGAAGCTGAATGATTATTAGAAATAATTCACGTATATATATATATATATATATATATATATATACATATATATATAATCTTCTGTTGATATTTAGCATGTTCAAGGTAAACTTGTACCATGAGGTACCCTTGTGTATTTCTCACTCTATCTACTTTTTAAATTAAATTCTTAGACACAATAGGCAACCGCATTCGATTTCTTCTACGCCTGCTTCTAGTTCTCTTTTATTGGTTCCACTCTTACTTCTTATCTTTAGTTGTACCTTCAAAGGAGCAATCAAAATAGCATACTCTATCTGTGGGCATACATATACACGATATTTACATACCTATCTGTTATCAGCATTTACCTGTTTCATCAAACAATAAAATTAATTTCCAAACCCTTGAAAATTAATCTGATGCTCACTCTTGATTGGTTACAGGACGAATTTAACTGGAGTTCTAGTGAGAGGTCGTGACCATTGGGGTCCAAACAATAAGGAGTGGGAACAAATACTTACCAGAGATGACACTGGCTGGTGCCAGTTGTAATAAAATCACAAACTGGTCGAAGTTAGAGTTCATGGGTCATTTGTGTTGGATCTCAGTGACTGAGTGGTCTACGAGTATACCTTGTAGCCGGGAGGTTCCAGGTTTTAAATTCGGTGGGTGCGTGCTTCAGATGAGTCCCAGACTAGAGTGAAACAACTGTCCAGTATTCCCTGGTGTCCGACTGTTCTCTTAATGATATCAATCCAAAATCAAACCTGATTATTAATTTTATTTATTTCACACTCCTATGGCTTATTATTTGCATGTGATTTTAAGAACGTATTCTGGTAATCTTGGCTTAGGAGTATTTTCAGACTGACCTCACTGACGCAACGTCTAGTGTCGAATGTAGAAGAAGTCGGGATGTTTTTCTTCAACCCATGTATCCACTGAAATAGTTTACTAATGATGAAAATATGTGTAGTATCCTTTATGATGAAGTCATTTACGTAGAAGAAACTAAGATGTGATCAGTAAAACGACCGTTAACCCCCCTCCCAGTCAGTTAATCTGTAGACTAATTCACTCTCATCTGCAACCCAGACTGGAAAGACCATTGATTGTGTCTTTCGGGTGACAGTATGTTCCGTCACCATTTAGGGTTATGGGATTGGCATGTTTAATAACTTTTATTATTATTTACCCCTTACTTTCTGAGCGGAAAACAAGGCTTCATCTGCACGCCCTCATCGCATTCTGTTGTCTTCCATCGCATGCAACTGTCTTTGTGACTGTCAGTATATACTCCTGACTGCCAACATGCAGAGATTTGTAGAGATTTAATTGGCGTTATTATTACTCAAGAAGAGTTCACTTATTGTAGACATTTGTCTTATGAGGTCATCAAACTACATCACAATACGTGGTTCTTTATTTTATCCTGACACCTACTGGTATTTAAGATTAAAAGGTGATGATTAACTAAAACATAACATATGCATTAGCCTAACTGTTCTCCATTGCTCTATAGGAACATCGAAATCACTCCATCATACCGTCTCATACTGTCACTCAATTACACTAGGAACAGCAAGCTTCCCACTTTTAATCAACAAATTACCCATGAAATCATTTTTAAAAAATATTTGATAATTCTGTAGCATGATACCAAACTACTATTGACCCCCATTCCCTACATTCTGTTAACTACGAACTTACAAGAGTTTAACCACAAACTTGAATTTCTTCGCCCAAAACATCATTTCTGATATGTATATCTCAGCGAATTTATCCTACTTTCCGACTTCAAAACCAAAAAGGTGGAAGCTAGTCACAGTCGAAAATTGTTTTTATACTAAAATAATTCTATAAACTTCTGAATGACTGAAAAATGAAATCGACACAAACCGGTGTAAGACAAATAGCTTGTTTTATTTAGTAACTCATTTCTTCATAAAGTACATAGTTTGCAAAGACTACTAAACATTTTCAGTAGAATAGACGATTAGATGAAGTGTATTTACACCCAAAAATCCCAGTTTTAATTAAGTGTGTAAATGGCTGTTTCATCAGCTGAGTTTATTGTTCTTTCTGACTAACTTTAAATTTGTTTATCCATTCTCCCACTTAGGTTCTGTTTATATTTAGTGTGATTGTGTACGAAGAACTTACATACATGCGTGCCGTTTCGCCAGAACCTTATCACTTCCCTAAGTGGGCTGTGGTATTAGGCTGGATGATGGCCAGTTCAAGTTTATTCCTAATTCCAGTTGTTATGATAGTAGAACTAATCAGAACACCAGGATCCTTTGTTGAGGTGGGTATATGTTTCACAACTTTGTTGTTTTGAACACAGAACTTTTATCCGTTGTTTGTACTGGTTTGAATTTGTTATAATATAACTAGTGATATACAGGGATTCACAGAGAGTTATCTATTTTCCACTTTATTGAACCTTTTATCGTAATCCATGGGTTTATAAAATGAATGTTGTTCTATGGGAAGTAGCTTCATTAATCTGTAATAAAGTGTCTCTGCGCTCTCTGTAATGTCTATTACTTCTGTGAAACTAACTAGTTATTTGATTTCCAGATTTTGATCAACATCTTTCAAACACTGAAGAACGGTGACTGCTGAAGTTAAAGAAAGCTGGAGAAGGCAGAAGAAAATGCCATTTTTAGTACAAAACAATTGGGCATGAAGAAAATTGTAAACCTTACATTGATGGCATAATTTGCGAACAACAATGTGTTCCACATCTATTCCCTATCATATTCTTTTCACTGTCGTGACTTTTTTCCAACGTTTCTCCCAAAGTGACTTTTCCATAGACACACAAGTTACCACCGTTTCCCCGAAGATGTCTCTCCATATACTACTCACATCTTTTATTGTGAGATAACTTGGAGGCAAGCTTCTTGTTAATAAGTAACAGAATCAAGAACTGAAGATCTGATGTGTACAATGTTGACTGTAAATCAGTCATAATCAGTTCTTTTAGGATTCAAATGCACCATCTGTATGGCCACATTCGTTCACGTAACCTTGACACGAACAAACAAAACCATCTTGATATTAAAATGTCTTTAGATTCATCAAATTAGAAAATCAGCTTGTTCATGGCTTTTCACCGTCATACATAAAAGTTATAAACCTTTATAGCTTGAAGTGTTAAACATACCTATACACTTAATTGAGTGAGTTCTATTGGTCAAATTAGGATTATTTTAAAGGGAAATAAAAGGTTACGGGGAGGAGATTTGCTTTCAATTCACTAATTCTCTATTTGTTTACATGAAACGCATAGAAAAAAGGAGTTTACTGGACCAGGATTCAAATAACAACTGGAAATTATGGTTACAGTCAACAGTTATAGTGCAAAATGTCATAAGTGCACACAAAAGTTCTCGCCCGATTTTCACTACTTTGTCTTCCAAATTTTATTTGAGGAAGTGTTGTAACATTTAAAATCAAATTTTTTAATATTTTAATTTTTATCACCTGCCTCATTTATAGATGTGAACTGGGAAGACGAGCCAGTGCACAAAATACTGTCAGCTGGTATACTGATAATCTTAGTGTTACTGAAAGCATAAAGTCCACTTAAGTGTTTTTATTTACCATTCGTGATCATTGCTACAGTTATTCATTAGCCATTCATAGTTTGAATAAATTATCAGAAATCAGTTGTTGACTATATTGGCCCTTTCCTTATTACAACTAACCACATAAAGAGCAGTGTATAATAATAAGGTTGTTATGAATTGTAATTTCAGCCATTATAACACTGATATTAACAACGCTAATGGTACCACTAATAATTTTGATGTGGTTGTGTTCTCTGAGCTGGATAGTTTATTTGTGACGTTTTCATTGCCCTATTAGGCAACGTCTTCAGCACATACTTCAATTTGAAGTGAGCTCTTAGATTTCTCCAAGAGGTTATTAGTCATCTATCCCGGTGACCTTGAACGAGATTGGTTGTTTTTGTGTGTTCTCACACCCTCTAGGCTGCTTGTATTAAAATTGATTGTTTCCTTGACTTGAACTTCGACCCTTTGTGTGTGAGGTTTCCTTCTTATCGTTTAGTGAACATTTTCTACCTCGATGTGTCTACTGATTGACGATTCACTGGGATACCAGAATTCTAAAAATTCTCTGGCATTCTTGTTGTTTCCTCTGTCTAATATTTGAACACTGTCCCAGTCGAATTGATGTCCGTGGTTGTCTGTATGTAGTGATATGAGGGAGTGGATATCATGTCTTTTGACGGCTAGCTTATGTTCATGGATAAGAAGACGAAGGGGACGTCCACTTTGGCCAATGTAGTGTTTTCGCAGTTGTTACAATTTATTTTGTAGATGATGTTGGTTTTATCTTCTTTTGTTGACATAGAGCTGAGTGGAGTTATTTTACTGGTTTGTGTGCGAGGTCAATTCCCAAAGGTTTGAATAGTCTTGCAGTGATTTCTGAGATGTCCTTTATATACTGTAGGGCGATTTTCATTGTGCTTTCCTTGGGGGCCTTTGATGTGATAGGTTGGCTTGGGGTACATGTCTTTCGATGAAATTCCGTGGATACCCATCCTTGTGGAAGACGTCCATGAAATATCTTTCTTCAATTTTCCTTAAGGTGGGAGTGCTGCAATGAGTCCTGGTTGGCTCTCTTAAATTGTGTTTGTATACAATTCCTCTTGTGTGTAATTGGAGTGTTGCTGTTGTAATTCAGTATTTGGTCTGTGTGAGTTGATTTTCTATAAACTTGAGTTTCTAATTCTCCTGTGGTTGTTCACTTAATTAAGACTTCCAAAAATGGGATTTCGCTTTCAGATTCCTCTTCTCTTGTGAATTTGATGTCGTTGAAGACGTTGTTGATTAAGTTGTGAGCCTTATCTAACTCGTTTCTTTTGATAATTACAAATGTGTCGTCTATGTAACGTATCCAAATCTTGGGTTTGATCTTTGGTAGGATTATTTTTTCGAGCCTTTGCATCACCGCTTCTGCAATCAAACCTGATATTGGCGATCACATAGGTGTTCCTTTGACTTGTTCATATATTTGGCGGTTGAATTGGAAGTACGTTGTTAGGCATAGGTTTATGCATTCCATCCAGCTTGTGTGTTGTATTTTTGATTGTTGTAGAAGGTGTTCGTCGTTGTTAAGTAATTGCTCCATGGTCTCTTTTGCTATTTTCTGTCCATTTGAGGTATATAATGCTGTGACGTCGAAGGATATCATTATTTCCGGTTCATCTATTTGGATGCCTCTGATTTTCTCTAGAAATTGTACAGCAGAATTCATGGAGTGATCACAAGATTCCGTTAAGTGTTTAAATTACGTGGCATTACTTATGTCAGACAAGTAGACTGGAATTACTTAGGTTATCAGAACACAGGCATTTAGATGGAATGGTTGGACCTGATAAGCCCAGTAATCTCAAGGAGAGCTTGGCTACTGCTACGCATGCACTTGTATGTGATCAGACAATAGGGTGGGATAGTGTAAAATTACAAAAACGTAAAATGTTCGGGTGCAGAAAAATGTTAACTACCAGATCTCTGATCATTTAATCAACATTGAATGCGCACAATTAGAACGACACAATACTTATACCGTATATATAGAAATTTAGATTAAAAACACGAGGCATGATAAAACTGTATGAAGCGAGTTAGGGTGTAGTGTGAAAACACCGATATGAGCAATAAGATGTGCCTGATCAGATCAAACCTCTAAAAGGACGTGAGATCAAAACATCTTTGTATGGCTGAAGTATTAGCTATACCAGCACTGAATCAAATGCTTTTCATCAACCTTTATCTATGCCATGGCCATCAGAAATAGTCTATTTTCTCAAGAAAATTATTATCATCTGATTTTGCCTATTTTTCGAACTTCCCGCTTATTTTCTTCCCCATACTCTTTATTTTAATCCGTATTTTTTATTAAGCAAACGGATTCTGTCATTCGCTTCGCTTTATTCCTTGACCTCAAATAGTTCACATGCCTTTTTTATATATTCACAAATGTAAAACCAAGTTGATCACTACATTGAAAGAAAAAAAATTAACTTCACTACAACCGTCTTTGGTTGTCCTTCAACATATTCTCCTTTTCACTCCTTACGAACTGAGGCTGGATGGAAAGTGAATTAACTGTCTCTGCGGGTCAAATTAAATGCTCCTCAAAAAGGTTCTGCCCAATATGCTGCTCCTCTGTCGTGGAAATCACTTGGCTTTCTATACGTATTTTAGTGTCACTTTCTGCATAAATCTAAAAACTATCGTTGTGAAGAATTCTGCAAGCTCAGATTTAAATATTTTTCGTTGACTAAACTGTGGTCAAGACAGATAAAGCCGCAAAAATTTATCTTTATTCAACAACCTTTGATTGCCGCCATTTATATAACTGGAGGCACAAGAAACCATATCATCGCTTTTAAAATAAACGAATTGAACTTAGTGATGTATAACATATTAGACAGCTCGGTCGACCGTGTAAAGTTATCTTCTAACAATTCAAAGGGATTGAGTGGGGTTTTCATCTTCGTTAAAAGGAGACTACTCCAAATGTTGAAAAAAACTTTGTCAAAAGTTCATTAAGGCAAGGTCAATTTTATGTTCTTACCACAACAAAGAATTTGGTAGATTCCTCATAAGATTCAAAGGCTGTGACAAACTATCATTCAAAGCACCGAAGAAAACTACGTTCGCAAAACTATCTGTGCAATGAGATACAAATAAACAAACAGAATGAAACATAAGAAGGAATTTTATAAGAGATAAAAGATTAGCGAGTCATTATTATCCAAGTATTTGACATTGGAAAGCATGAATATGATTCACATGTAGACCAATATGTGTACTCGGAAGTCCAGCATCTGATGTAAAATACCTTGCTGTTACCAAATTATTGACTACAATTATTTGCAAAGTGGATTATCAAGTCAGTGTTTCAGTGGTGAAATACCTGCCAGCTAATCAGGGGAGCGGGTTAGACTCTTGGCTAATGTACTCCTAAACCTTACTGAGTTTTCTGGTAAATAGGGAAGGTTCGGAATGAGGCTAGCAGTCCCACCTCATAAAACGCAGCACCAGTGGCAAAGAAAATTTCAAGCCTGAGACTCTACATCTCACTCGGAAAACAAAAAATGGAAAAAGGACTACATGATATCTAACTGATTCTGTTTTTTTATTCACATAGGCATGGTTGACTTGAGAGGGAAAATTTTGAAATAACTATATTTTTTAAAATTGTCTTGACATATTGGCTCTCTGTTGCAAATTTAAGCTCTATTTTAGTTTAACAGTTAACAGCAAGTCGAGAAAGTGGAGGAGTACTGTGTCCACACTCAGGTCTCTGCGAATCTGATCGACTTATTCGTATTTTTGAGAAAATAATTTTCGTTTCTATAGTTTGATTTCGGGATACAAAGAATTTCTAGAACTTCTGAGGTCTAAATTCACTTTAGACTTTTGATAACAAAAGTTACTTATCAAACTGAATGAGACAGAAATTGAATTTTGGCGTATTTCCTGGCGATGTGAAAATATATTGCATATATTTCTAAATGCATTCATATTAGTTCCATGTTAACACAAATGTACTACAAAATCAGTTGAAAGAAAATAATTAGAATACAACATTTTGACTGCATTATTAAGTTAGAACTATAAATGAATCGCTTACGTCATTAGACATGCCAGATTTTATATATACATCTGACGTTTCAAGTAACTGACTCCACTTCATAAAATTCGAGTGAAAGATTATCACTTACAAATAAAATGTTGCTTATTTTATTCTACTACTAACTTTTGTTGTTTTCGTCAGTTGTATTAGTATATGCCTCATAACTCTTCAAAATGTCAGATATATCAGTGCAGATTGCTGCTTCTTTTCTTCTGTCAGAAATTCCAGTTTTTGTATTGTACATCTCGGTATTCTACGTTATCAGCCAAATGACAGGGAATCTAGCTCTATGTACACGTGTACAAATGATTTCTGAAAGATAAAAGAGGGAAAATAGTATTATAATGTTGAAGTTGTAGCTAAAAATAGGTTTATAACCGACTGAAATTATTCCGAAAATAATATACAATATTAAAAATATTTCGGAGTGCTTATTCTGACATACTATGCATAGAAAAAGAGTGAAAATGAAACCACTGATTGTCTAAAAATATAATGAATACATTTTTATCTTCATGTCTTCGTAGAACATAGTTTGTTTGTCTATATTTAGTTAGTGGGTCATTCGCCTAAATAGTACCGAGAGCCAGGGGATTTCAATAACAGAGGCGTAGTCCCGAAACTTGGGATGTAGATTCAAATGAAATTACTTAATTATTTCATTGTTTCTTGTTCTCTTAGGATAAGATAACTGTTAGTTGGGTCATCAAGTCGTTTTCTGTTTAAAATCAATAGACTACTTATTTAAAATTTTCATTAGATAGGAGCTTGAAAGTTAGCCACGGAAAACTAGTTATGTCGCAGAAAGAATACTTCTTGTATGTGAGTTACGTCTGCAGGGAATTTACTTTTCATAACTTTGCTTCAAAACTGTACGGTTTTGAAGTTTGATGGAAGCGTCGTGAAAGTTCATATCATATGAATGTGACAAAACGTGAAATCAAGAGTCAGTAAAAATAATGGATAAGCTCAGAGACATAGTTCTATCCAATCTCAGTGATAAATTAGTTTCAGAAATGATTACCATTAAAACTGAAAGCGCTTGAAAATAGGAATATTGTTCATATGAGTACAAGATTCAGAATATGTTAAAAGTGTATTTTAAAGTTGGAATTTTGAGGCGAACAAAGAGATAAATGTTATACAGTGTATTATTTTGAAGAACGTAATTCTTTTATCTCCTCTACTGGAGAAAAATTACTGAAGTATTTATTGGTCAGCGAAAATTAATGAAATACTTGCACATTTCAAATTTGCAATGAATAGTATCAATGAAATATCGTATTATTGTGGTCATAATGTTGAATATATGTTTCTTTTTTGTGTTTTATATAAAGCGCTTGAAATACTTGTGCACACCTCGACTTACTCAACATAACAACTGTCTGAATAGTCCAAGTGAGTAATATCTCAAACTTTCAATGATGAAAATCGGATATTATTATTTGTTCTTATTAGTATAACTTAGAAATGGAGTGAGTACGATATGGATGATTTCGACTGTTTAATCGAATGAACTACTTATAGGAAGCACTTGTGACTTAATAACGTGTAGGTAATTGCAATTAGTCATTGTTTGAGGGTAGACATAATGATACATTAATAAACCTTTGTACCGACTTTGTCTGTTAGGCAAATAAAGTGATATGGTAAGAATTTTGGCATCTCTTGCTAATTGCAGTAGAATGTTACTACTTTTAAACGTTGTGAATCGTGATCTGAATTGTTTATTGGCCAAAAGATTTTCTCGTCAAGGTTGCCTACTTACACACATAAAAACAGAAATCGTAATTCCTAATTTCTGCTTATTAGTTACCAAATTTGTAAAGTTTAACCTATTAAATTGAGGTGTCATTTCATCTCAAACTGTGTAAATTGCAGACCGACAATTAATTTTAAATTCCCGAATTTGATTTAATCTGACAGAGTCATATCGACAAATTATTAATGATACCTAATGTTGTCTGATAAGTAAAACAGAAGTTCTGTATACTTAGTTTTATAAGACGCATAGCTGCCTGAGATTAGGATATAACATAAACTGATTATAAATGCAAATTACTAAACTAAACTGAGAGTATCCAATGATATACGTGGGCTTAGAAGGACTTTTACTCACACCCTCTGATTTCTGATCGCTTCAGATTCAAATATTCATTATATATATATACATATATATGAGAAATTCATATTCCTGAACAGATTCTAAGATTGTTTGAATTTAGAAAAGGAATTTATCATCCTAATAATTAATTTACAGTACGTCTGTCTTTAGTCACTGGATATACGATTATCTGCTGAGTATGGAAACAGACTAAGAAGTATTAAGATTATTAGATATAACAGGATTACTTCCGCGTGGACACAATTAATTTCACAAACGTAAACAAATGAAAGGCAACAAAAATGTTCACAGAATCTAATGATGTTATTACTTGAAGACAATCTCATTTATCTGAATAAACATTGATAAGGTACTTAAATTCCCAAGTTCAACAGTCTTCATAATAAAGTGAAAACAACTGAGTTTGCAAACAGAAAGCATATGTGGCCCTTCACAGTCAAAATCTGTAACCGTTTTATTTATTGTAGCTCCAGATATATCATTATATTTATAGTCACTTCTGCAAAAATTCAAAAGGTAATCCTATATATGTGAACGAAATAAAAGTTTAAAAATTCTCAATGAAACCAATAATTTACAATCACAGGATAAAAAGGAGGTTGTGATATGAAACTGAAGCCCTGAAGGAAAGAGAACTGCCTCGTATTTTTGCATAAAAAATTGTTAGATGTGAAACTTCTAAGGTGAACTAGTGAAACCTCGAGTTCTGTTTTCCGTTTATTCTGGAGAGAGTTGTAATGTTACCTAATTGTCTCTTGTGAAATAAACAGTTAAGCTGTTGGTGTGTTGGTGTTTTTCAATCCAATGGTGTTCATGTGTTTAGATAAAATGCTTATGGTATCATGCTAATACCCGCCTCTCGTTGTGTTTCACTGGCGAACCTAGAGGAAAATTAACAAACATACTTTTGTTTAAGTAAATCGTTTTAAGACGAGGAAATTTTGAATGAATAACATTATTAGAAGCATCAATAATTATGACAAAAAGAAGAGAAACAGATGCTTTATCATATATTATTCTAAACCACATATGTAAATGTTTCCAAGCGTTGTTTCTTAGCTTCATGTGTACGTCTGAACTTCTCTTTATAACTCAAATTATAAAATAAGTTCATAGAACTTCTAATTCCTTCCTGAATATGTACTTCTTGAGAGTCTCTAAAGACTCTCCTGATAAATTTTAAATTCTTGATGGCTCTAAGCTTTTCAATGGTTCTCTAACCGATGTCAGCTCATGATGAAATTCTGTAACCAATCAAATCCCTGCAAACCAACCTCTGAAGGATAAATTTTACTTAATAGCTTAGATTTTAATAGCGGTTTAGTGGTTAATTAAACCATCCCCTACCGTTCACCACGTAGAATATGATAATTTTTACGTTTAAAAGAAGCAACAAGTGTTGTTAATAAAGCACGATTTAATAAATTCATCAAATTTTGGTAGAACTCTTCCTCTGAATACTCTGCGTTTAGGGATATATATACGTTTGGAAATACACTGAAAAATTTAAAACTGATAAGCAAATAAACTACATTGAATTAATCATACAAAAAGGCACGTGTGAATGTATGTAGAGCATTCAGCTGAAGAGTTCTACCGAAAATTGATGAATTCATTAAATCCTGCTTTATTAACAACATTTGTTGCCTGTTTTAAATTCGTATCGGGAAACAAATGCTTCCAAATTTACGTTGTTAGTTATGTCAACATCACTAGGAATGTCATTCAATTAATTTGGATTCCTTTATTAAACAGGCATTTCTGATCGTCACCTACTCTTCAGCATATAAAACGATGAAGTACTTCTTTTGTTTATACTTATCACTAGTTTCTTTTAATGTTTCTAAATTTACAGTTTTTTTTGTTTTTTGAAAGTTAATTTTTTTTTAAAAACCCTTTAATATTTATCTCTGCCCGCTATTATCCTTTTTCTTTCTATTTTTCAAGCACTCATTGACCCTGAGAACTCTGACAACCGTGAAGCTAGCCCGAAAGACAACCGGGAGGGGGATATATCTACGGCCAAATTCATTCAGAATAATTAGAATGTGTTGGAAAAGTAAAACGGTGCATTCATAAGTCAAAAATGAAGAATTAGGTTTTTAAAAAAAATAATTGTAATGAAAATTACTGCACTGAAAACACTGTAACTAAAAGAAATAAAGCTACAAGTTTCTTGTAATTGATACAAACGATACTTCTGTTTTCTCATCATATCTGATGATACCTTTATAATCGTACATTCCTTCAAAGCTGTTTCTTTTCTGTTGCCCCTTTGAACACTATAGTACTGTATTGTGTTGTTTTTTCTGCCAACATGATGAACCGTTCTGTATTTTATCCCTTTTTTTACAAAATAGAGTACACTACAAAGAATAGAGTAAATATTAAATTAGATACTAATTATTTTAACGTACCTTTATTTTTGATCACTTCATCGTCTTGTCAATGATGCACTGGTATGCAGTGTGTTGTTGCAGAGGCATGAAGCACACTGTCATTCTTGTATACTTCATACATAATGCTAAGATAAACCATGATGAAAATAAATAATTCTTCACATTCTCTTGTCGTTGTTTTTTATTTCAGAATAATAATTTTTTTGTTTATTAATTTTTTAATAATAATTTCAGAGATATTTTAGATTTCTTTCGGTGTATAATTATCCATCCATAGAATTAGTTCACTTATATTTTTACTAAGTACTTTACCTTCATCGCTTTTGTTTCATATATAATTTATCTGCATATTTTTTTTTGTCCATCAATTCCACTCCTTGATTTCTCTTCTTTTTATCCCAAGTGGTTGGATAGATTGTAAGCGTTTGATCGATTGATTCATCAGTGTTCAGTATTATCTCAGTGGACGGAGATATCACGCAAATTCTTGTGAGTAGTGGGAAAGAAGAGAACTGGTTTAATTATTCTACGTTTAGTTCATTATTACTGAAGTCGAAGATGTAATAATGAAAAAAAACAAGGTAAAAATGTACGTGTTTGTGAAGTAGTAACGCGTAGCGTCTATTTCTTATCGCTACCGAAAGAAAACTTTGTCGCTTAATATTATTACCATTCATATATTGGTATAATTATTACTGTTATTATCATCACTGATGATGGTAATTGTACGTTGTGCAAATAAAGTGATCTTGATAATAAGGTGTTTTGTTCTCGTTTGTTATTACTTGACTTCTTTATTTTCGATTGATTAGGATACGTTGCATATGACGGTTAGTATGAAACCAAGACTTATGATTGTTGGCACTTTTATTAGGATTTGATAAAATTCACACTTTTATTTGGACAGGATGAAGCATCAGTGAATTCTGAAACTGAATGAGCGTTTTACAGACATTTCAAATTATCATATTATGCATTATTAATCCATTGAATTCCAATTGGAATATAGGGATTTTACAGCGAATTTCCACTTCACCCTGTTCTCTGCAGTCCTCTTTATCTGCCTGCGCGACTGGTCATATGCTTTAGTCTCCTCACATGATCTCTACAATGTCACCCTTGGATACGCAACTCTTTCTTTCACATTCAGGTTGCACTTGACGGACTGTCGCGTGATGTCACCCCGCTGTCGCCTCGGCAGATGTCCTTTCCGTTTCTGTTTTCCTTATCACATTTCTGAGGCTATGGATTCTTCGTCTATTTTTTCCCAGATTTCTTTTGCTGCTTATCCTTTAGTGTTATTTCATCTTCATTATGGAGCCGGCAAAGGAGACTGTTAATGAAAGTTTGAAGCCTGTTTGGAATGCCTTCCGTGGCACACCCGGTCTCTGAACCATATAAAAGAACTGGTTTGATGTTAGTGTGGAAAATCCGAATGATGTTCTTCATTCTGAGTGCAGCAAGTTTCCAAACTCGCTTTCGATCATTTATTTAATATCTCCATCCGCGTTACATGTAGCTGAATCGATGCTGCGTACAAGAGTGAAAGAATTACTCCTTTCAAATCTTCAACCCTTCATGGTGACTGGGCTTTGTTGTTATTTGTTGGACATCATCATTTCTATCCTGAAGTTTAAAACATTGTTTGTTGGAGAAAAATAATCATAAAGCGAGGCCTCAGAGTTATCTGGCAGTTAACTGTGTTTCACACCTGATGTCACAGTTATATACACGGTAGTGCAGAGGACCCTTAGGTCTTTAGGTTCAGTGATTAGGTGTCTTACAAAATGAATCGCGTATTCATCATGAAAGGCTTCATACCTACACTGCTGACCACAAGCGATCACCTCGTCTTCACATTTTACACTTTGTTCGTTGTCATTGAGACGTATCTACAGTGGAGTGATAGCCTGTTCGATTCCATAACCATGCATCCTGTAATAATTCACAATAAGGATAAATGATAGTGAATTTTGCTTCGTCTTGCTTATTAAACTGGTTAGGGGTCGTAATTTTGCATATATTCTGTCTTGCAGTATTATATACATCAAAACCAGTGTATAATAAGGTCTGCGGGTTAATACGATAATTGTTAACTAGCAGGGGATTTCTAATTAGCAAAGTAAATATATCTCTGCCGACCGTGATTGCCTTTTTTAAACAGTCATTGTTGTATCGTGATTTTAAAAGGTTGAAAGCACCTGGTTAGATTTAGGATGAGTTTATACAATGTATACGTATCTGAAACGTGCAGAATTATATCGAGATCCGTTACATTCAAGGGATATCAATTATCTGTGTGATCACAAGCATAACTAATATCATTCTTAAAATTATAAATGCTATAGAATACCCATGATAATTCTGTGTGTTTTTCACCGAATCTTTCTGAAAATTTTTTTCATTGGGGGTAATTAATGACTTTAAAAATGGCCTGTGAATTGTTTTCAGAATATGAAGGTGACATTTAGTCGATGGAAAGGGGTTGCGAAATGTTTAGCTACTGAGGTTATCGTGCTAGTATTAAAACTCTACTCGGAAACATGCATTCCTGTAATGGCATGTGAAAATTTGTCTTCTCAAATGATTACACAGTGGTTTCTGCCAGAGAAGTAAAGTATCACTGGTCTTAAATAATAGCATTAAATATGTATTGGTGGATATAACTCCATTTTATCCAAGAGCATTGTGTACTGCCCAGTAATTTGTCTTATTCTGCACCTCAAATGTGAGGCAGTCGTTGAATGTGAAAAATATTACAAGATCAACGGCTTCAACATAAATGCCTTCAATTAAGCAATCATGTTAGGTAATGACAGGTGACAGTAACGTTAAGTTGAGGATGTCAGAGAATGAACTGAACTCACTCATTTAGGTAGTGAATGAAGACACATCTTGGGGATGCCGGAATACCGCCCCCTCATCAGGCACTGTGAACTGATATAGGAGTAATTTGGCCATCATATTATTGGAAGTAGACATAAGCTGACGTGAATTCATATACTCTTGATGGAAGACACGCTAGGAAGTACAAACAGTCTGACTAGCTTCATTTAAATGTTAAGTATCAATGTATAAAGACACTGTAAAACAGAGGAAAATCGTTTAGGATGGTGCAGATGTACTTACTCATTATCGTCTTCTAAACTTGACAACATTCACAGATATCTTTCCAGTTATCCCTCCTCCTCCAAATATTTGTCCACCGTAGTTTCATCACTTTTCTCTTTCTTTATTTTCTTTCCATTTTTTGAAGTATGACAACTTAAACCAACTGTTTTTGTGCAAATCTGCATCGAGATAAGGCAAATGCATTCATTACTTTCCAGTAACATTGGAATTCTCTTTTTAATTGTTTGTGTTTTTCATCACTTTAACTCTTATTGTTTACAAATGTCTTTTTTAACATAGAAAAATGTTGTTTAAATCGATTGAATTTAACGATTGTTTTCTAGTTGCACACAATTTTAGGGAATTAGTCTTCATTCATGTTTTGGAGTGAACATAAATAAGTTGAATGAAACACATTTTACTGCCAAACATTCCATTCCTTAGCATTTTACATTCTAATGGTAAACGTGTCAAAATGCGAACTGTGCTTTTTTCATCGATATAATCGATTTTATTACATTAAAGGTTAAATGCATCTGAGAAATATAGAAACAGTTTAATCAGTATATATTTTGGTCACCAGAAAAGTGAACTTAATTCGCCTGTTCAGTTATCACAAAACACACACTGATGAATGGATAAGTGAAGGTAAGCAAATATTCAATGCTGAATTCTAGCACCACTTGAACTCATCGTTTAACTGGTTAACACAAGTGAAAACGATAACTGAAAAGTGAGTAGTTTTCTTCAGTTCAAGAAGTTCGCATGAGGTGAATTATAATTTCAACAAGTATAGCATCATCGATTTAGGTTGCTTTAAGCTCTAACAAGTTAGACATTTAGTTTTTAATTGAGCTATTGGTTACGAAAGATGAATGTTTTCTAAGGTAAATAAATGGATAAGTTGAATAGCGCATCGCACCAAGATCTTGAAGGTGTATAAGTTAGTTATCACATATAAGAACCAAATCCCTATAATGTCCATTTTGTGAAACAGGGTTAACCAATGCAGAGATTTCATTCCTAACTCAGCGAATATAGAATAAACTCAGAATAAAGGATTCAGAAAGTTTCTATGAAAGAGCATTATAAAATAAATAAATAAATAACAACTTCATTATTAACAGAAGGCTTACTCAGCATACAGAATTCTCAGCTTGACTTATCGCATAAAATGTTCTTCCTCATCCAGGATCTTCAAGTGAAACAGCTATCCATAGGGTATCATGTGATGCACCGCTGTTAAATCTGAGGCATAGATTAATCCCAAATGAAGTTTTTCCTTCGTCTCTTCAAAATGCGCAACGGCAGTATGAAAGGCGTTTGAAAATATATGCGAGTAAATTTTGAAACTGAAGGACATATATAATTGAATGGTTAAGATAGTAAAAATTAGAGAAAACGTGATACATTGTGTTGGGTGGAAATTCTAGTAGCCCAGTGATCGAAGCAGACTTCCGAACAGTCTTTACAGTCATGAAAGGAAAACAGAAATTAATCGACGGGAGAAAACAGCCAAAACAATTTCTGCATATCAGTGATGAAAAAGCTAAAGTATTTGCAAATATCATCTGACATCAAGGACTTAATTGAAACACTTCCTGATTTACATACAATTTAAAAATTTAAAAAACACCACTATCCAGGTACTTGTAGTTGTCCAGGGTCGACTAGTTCCAGACAATTTACAGAAGGTGAAGATTATAAAAGCGTCTAGTGCATAGTATGTTTGTTACTAACACATAACTCAGGCCGAAAAACTACTGAGAACTTTTTCAAACACTTTAAAAAAATACTTATCCCTACTTTTAAATTATGAAATCTGGTGAGAAGTAAAAGGGCCTTCTGGTAATTTGGTCTTATGTGATACAACCAGTTTTTCAACAATAACCACGAGTATATTAAATATTCGATTTTCGATATGGTTTACAGCTGTAAAACACATACAAATCCGATTATTACAGTATGCTGGAGCGAAACAGAAAAACGAATGACAAATAATTTTGTGACATTACAGTGAGTCTGCTCTTATTTCACCAGAAGCAGACCTTTACATGATCGATTCATACAAATCACGCTAGGGTCATTTATTAAGTGGTTAGAGGTAGTCAGTCGGTGAGAAACCATAAACTCAGGTTTTGCGCCCAGTGGAACTCATCAGCAAGAAATATTTGCAACTTTGATGGAACGGGTACCCCTTGGGGGGTGGAACTCCATTTACTTCCCAACTGCCATTGAATATATCTACTGGAGTATTACAGGAAACCATTCGTGAAGCGGAATAGTTCAGCAGTGATGTCTGTGATAGCAGCAGTGCATGACATGGGTTCGTTTCTCAGTAGGGATATCAGTTCTCTCAAGGTTGTAGATACACCTTACTGACTGCCTACCAGTCACTCCAATCTGCTCAAAAACAATTCGAATTGCACTATGGCTACATTTCATAGTTGGTCAGTGTTTACACAAAGGACTAGACACATGACACAAGTTACTTCCTAATGACCAATCAATACAGAGACGTTTGAGTTAAACACAAATGAGGATTTAAGAATAATCATATGATTCTTAAATGATTGTACACTAATACCTTATTCAAAAATTGGTAGTAAGCTGTTACACTATGTGCTTTCAACTCGGAATAATCTTCCGCTTTTTGTTTGAATTTCCTCACACAATGCAGTATATTGTGATCGATCTCGGTATTTATTTTGAATTAATACAGTCAATTAGTCTTAAAACTTCCACAAAATTGGTAATATGACCTAAATGTTGGTTTTATTTTCTTAGCGTTTTAAGTGATCTATATATTTTTAAAATTGTTCTGTTGATAACCGCAATCTTAGGTTATAAGTAACATGTTTTTTTTGGGAACGATTACTAATAAATTCAGATCAGTATTGCTGAAATTCAAAGAAAGCAGATTACTCTAATTATGCGACGTACGTTTCTCGAAAGTAGTTTTGGGTCGATTATAACATTATGAACATTATAAACACGTTGAACCCACTGAAAACAAAATTACCTGATTCTGGGTTTGAAAACTTTCTGACAAAGTAAACTGTATAAGGCATTTTGAAGACAGATTTTGCGAGATTATATCACTTCGTTGTTTCTCTGCAACCACTTTACAACCATGCTAGTTGTTTTAAAGTAAATTGTATATAAGAAATATATTGTTATTTGTTTTTTTTCACATCGAAGTATGCGCTGAAGATGTTGCTCAGTAGAGCAATGAAAGCTTCGCAACCAAACCATCCAGCTCAGAGAACACAACCACACCAAAGTTTTTTTTTACATTTGTTATTTTTACATTTCTAACCCCCAATTGCACAATGCCAATCTTCTTAGTTATTATGCTGCTTTGTTTGAGTTTTACCCATCCCCCTGTTTATTATGGCATTCTAATTCCTAATTGTAATTTTTATTAATTTGACCCCTAACCAGAAATTATTCTGGAACTTACCCATCCATTTGATATAAATACACGAATGTACAGCCTAGATGATGACTTCGTCGAAAAGAACATTTTCTTCGCTGCAACTGTCTTTTTATTCCCTATGATCAAATGTGTATATTCCGTGAAATAAAAATTCATGCTGAATAAAATCTCGATTGTAATTAGTGGTTTTTCTTTTTTTTTAAGTAACAAATCACCTGGTTAAAAATATACAAATTATGACTGCATCAAAAATAAATCTATTCTCATGGTAATGGCTGAACTGATTATTTTTACCATGGCGCAGTAAATGAGAGATAGTCTAAAAACAACCGATTCTTCACAAAAGAATAAAAAGATCTTGATAATTGAATAGTCAAATGGATAATGTTAAGCACATTTAAGGCACACATACTAGCTCACGATGGGAATGCCACACTTCACAGAGATGCGAACACTGGCTAATGACGAAAAGCAAACGAATAGTAGTGTACTCGGTATAATAGGACCATATGCATATAAGCTTCTGAGATTAGTAACAAATCAATAGAGATGTTTGGGTCAATTGCTCCTTGATGGATATTATCTCAAAAGCGACTTTAAGAAATCAGGAAAGCTAAACTAGTCACAAATTCTACGTCCACTTATTACTGTATGATTCTAATAACTGATCAGTTTAAAAGACCGAAAATACCCACTGAGTATTGAAGGGTATGAAAGAGAATTCAGTGAAAAAAATTTCCTTTATAGACGAAATCATCTTCAGAAGCTGAACAGTATTTTGTATACTTACTAAAAACGTGTAGTAGTCTGTTATTGAGTGATAGGGAGATAAACGGTCCTCTCCAGAGATCGTTTTACGGGAAACTAACATGGAATATTCAGTGCAATAATTTTCATTGTTAATTACCTTTGAAAGGAACAAGAAACTTGATCCACTTCTTATCCTCAAGAATAAGAATGGTATACATCAGTGGTAGAATCGATGATGGACTGGAGAGACAGACACTTAATGTTAGGCAATTCTTTTTTACTTTATAAACCAATTCTGAGTTAGTATATAAATGATGTTGCCTCCTTATTACTCTTTAACGTCCTACTATATATGTTTCTAGTAATCATAAATACGATTGTGCAGCCCCTGAAGATGATTTCGTCGATAAAAAAAGTTTTCTTCGGTAAAGTCCCCTTAATTTTTTTCTAGACCAGTTTAACTTCAGTTCAGCAGCATCGTAACACTAATTAGCGACTAACGAATTGCATTATTCGGTAATTAGCTTTGGTTTTATTAAAAAATTATTTTCACAAGAATGACAAATGGCTGACTAGATAATTGTTCTTAACAGATTCAAATTACAGTATTGCCAAGGGTTAGAATTCTGTGAATATGCTGGAAAAAGGATTAAACGAGGCTTTGAACAGAATTTTCTCCACATCAAAGCTAGTTACTATATTTCGAATATTATTCTCTCTCTGTCTCTTAGATGAAGATCTATAGTTATCCTTCTAATGCAAGATCTATGTGGGAATATCAATTCATATGTATCTACAGTAGAGCCAACCTCCTTAGAGATTTTAAATGTGTGACTATGTGCCTTTGGTAAAAACTAACAAAATCTGTATACAGTTGGCAGTAAGCAAACTGTTTAGAATTACTTTTGATAAGTGAAAAGCAAAATGACTCCATCTGATTTTGGTTGATGTCATATTCTGTAGCCATCAGAAAAGTGGATCATAGACATTATATGTCTTGACTTGAGTGGTATCAATTAACATCGACCATGAATTATGAAATTTAAAATCAATTCACTTGATTTACAAATCAAAGTGTAGTTTTCATTGTGTCAGATAAACTGAGTAGCATTATTCCTTAAGAAGTATGAGCTTTTCATACATTATCTTTCCAAAAGTGTCAACTATTCTCTTACATGAAGAAAATAAGAATTAATTTAGCGGTACGGTTGTATTGCTACTATTGATTTTCAGTCTTTTTTCTTGTTTTACAAAACAACATAATTTTGTATCATGTGATCTACCTTAAAGAGTTTGAGAAAATATATATTTTTATTTCACAGTGAAATTAGTATTAAAAGTGATTAATTTCACCAAAAGTTTTCATTATCCGTATTAATTTGCAGTTATCAACATGTGAATAAATAAATCAATAGTTCTTTTACTGACCAATGAAAATCAAAGTTCACCAAACATGTGGAAATTATTTCGCGTGATTGGAAAGTGACAAAAAAGGTGATTATATATCTTAAGGTTTTACATTGTTGATAGACTTTCTTTAGAATTTTCATTATGTCGGATTCAAATAGTGTAAACTGCTCCAGTTTAGTAAGTTGTGTTATTCAGTATTACTCCATAAATGTATTTCATATTGTTGTTTCTTTTCCGTTTGCAATGTTTACTACAGGAAATTTCTCATCTCATAGGGTAGATATAATGCAGAAAATGTTTCATGGATATATATATATATATATGCTTGTTCATCCATACTTGATATTTTCCGTTGACACAACTGAACCAGATAGATCAGTCTCACTTCTACATACTGTCTGCTTCTACGGACGCCTCATTATTGTCATTATTACTGACTCGAAGTTGCTTCTTTGGTGATCCTCAATAGTATAAAACGCGCTTCGTGGATTTAATTTCAAACAATACTGTAACAAGTAACATCCAGTCAGTAATCATGACAATAGCCGCGGTGTGACAGCATTATCTAACTCAGACTCAAGTTGTCACTTATTATCATATTAGCTGTAGGTACACAACTTCGAAAGTTGATTTTTATAGTTCTTGTCCCTCCATTTTAGTTACAATTGATGTGATTATGAAAAGTAAATTGTGTTCGAAATATCATCCGATAAATGATACTGTTTCACTGTGTGATTTATCCAATAAAAGAATTACCATAGGACTACCTACTATCACAGTGCCCAAGTCCTACGCATACATTGATCAGCACAGACGTATCAATAGTAAATCAGCAGTGCGAACAGATAATTCAAAATGGTGCTGAGTGTACATTTGTTCGCCTCTTTGGCTAAGAAAGCTAGCAGATTAAGCTTAAGTGTTTGAAATGAAATGTGCTCGGTTTAAAATCTTACTGGAAATATCATCACTCAATGGGGAACAGTTACGTCTGGCTGACTATTTCCAAATATGACGAAAGGAGCAGCCATAATTGAAGTGTAGCTTTTAGTTACATCAAACTTTTACTGGTGACCTTAAGTCCTCTTCCCCTGATTACTCCCTTTCTCAAGTATACAGTTTGGATTTTCTTCAACATAGTAACTGTAAATTTTGCTCTGGTTTACTGAGATCTTACTACATTTGAAGGAATTTCAAATATTATCCTGTTCGACATGTTGACAGCCGTTTAAAGGGAAAATATTACATTTCGTGTTAGCTTTAGCACTGTCGAGAAGTGAAACACTATCGTCGGCGTAAATACTAACTTTCTTTTGTAGAACAAATGATAAGCATGCAAGTCAAAAGAGACCTTGTTTTTTTTATCTTACGTAACATAAAAAAGGAATATTATTCGCTAGAATTTGTATTGTGTGAAGCTGAGCAACATCAATGTAGGTTTTTCAATAACCAAAAGAGCTGGAGAACTACTGAAAAACCAGTAAGCATGAATCAACAAAAATTAGAATCTGCGCGATTCGAAATCAATAACTAAATCTTAAACCTCCCCAAGGCCCTTCTTCAAATCCATAATGAGGGTCGAGTTTGAGTATTGCTAAAGAGCCCTAAACTGTGTAAAAATAACTACCAACTATTATCTTGAGTTCATTTCTTGTGTTCCGAATGTTGATTAGTGAAGAAATTTGCCTTCATTATTTTCGTTATAGCAGATTCAAGTTGCTGTGATAACCAGACAACAAGACTTGAACAAAATCCACTGAAATGGGGAGATAACTGTCTACATAATCTCCTAATTATTGGTATTTGTATAAACACTTAGGCATATTTTGGAAATATTCGGAATATCCAGTTTGGAGGGTGACAACTTGTTAAACTACTAACATTTGGCTAACGTACAAAAGTAGAAGTGCAAAAAGTAACACAGCAAGTACATGAGTATGTTGTCATAAAGAAATACATGAGGGTATATCATCAGAATATCTCATTCCATCTGAGAGATAGTAGCTTTACTAATTTCAGAGATATGGTAAAATGTGTTTTTTTCTCACATTTGAACTAGATCACTGCGTCCAATATAGATGACTTTTGGTTAATATTTAATCCCCTATCTTCCCAGTATTAGAAATACCCAGTGAACAGATACAGTTAAACTTTTCATCTGTCCATTGTTTCGGAAGTCTACGAAATCTAAGTAACTGTTTACACACACGAATTTATCGTCTGAACCTAAAAGAAACTTCCAAGCAAGGTTAGTTTTTCCTGGAGTTCTTGAGACCAATATCTTTCCTTCTTAAGGCATTGTGATGAAGCCTACAGGGATTAACTGGAATCAGCGATTCGTATTACCGCATATTTGTAATCAGAAATCTCAGTATCTGTATCTAGAAATGATTATTTGTGATAAGCATGTGAGATTATCCTTTCAGAGAGAATTAGTCGAGTATATACTTCTGCAATACTTAGTCTCTTGAATTCTCTCTATAGGTGGTAACAGTTCAGTTAAATAATAAGGGTGAATACAAAACATAACGTAATCGAATTCGGTCGAAATCCTTTTTCCTGATAGATGATTTTGTGATGAATTATGAAATGATGATTCCCCATAAAACACCTCAGTGAGTACTGGTGACTTTTCTAGGCCCTTATGGCAACAGTCATTGGAATGGTAGGTATAAACTGAGTGAAAAGATAATAATGTGTTCCTTTGTGCTTACAACTCTTCGTTTATAAGTTCATTGTATTAAAGTGGCAGTTTAAATTTTGTAATTGCCACAGACAAAAAATGATATCACGTAGTTTTCAGCAACCTTTTATAGGAAACTACATTTCAAAAGTAATCCACTGGTGAATTACTTATTACTCTTTGACTAATGAAGTCTTATCCATGAAGAGAACTTCTAATGTTATAAATCCCTCCCCGAGAAACTTATCTGGAGGCCTAACACTGTTTTAAAGCAACATATTGAGCCAGTACATAGAGAAACGAGATGTTATTGAAAAAAAAAGAATTAGCATTGAAGAGCGATAATTATATTTTAGTGGGTGGCCAGTAGTACTGGAATCTAAGATGTAGTCATGGCGTGCTTAATTTAGCTTTGTGTTCCCCATTGGTCGATTGCATTGGGCCGAAATGTTTGATTTCTGTTGAAATTTCGGCTCCCAGGGAGGATGCTTCCACTATGTCTGAGAATTAACATGATGTTACTATAGTAGATGGTGAGTAACAGTGGAACCCAGGGTTCGCTTTTCGTCCCACTGAGAACTCATTGGCTGGATTTACCAATAATCCCCAATGAGTGATGGTGTTCCTACTGAGATTCGAAGCCATGCAGCTCAATCAGTCCAGTGGATAACAATTTGACGCTTGAAACAATAAGTGCTAATTTTGAGTCTCACTGGGAACGCCATCACTCTTTGGGGATTGCAGGCACACCCAACCGACAGGTTCTCGATTTAAAAAACTGTAAAACTCAAGTGTCAAAGTCGTGGGATTACAATTGATATGATTATGAACAATAAAATTTGTTCGAAACGTCATCCAGTAAATAATACTGTTTCACTATGTGATAGATCTAATAAACAAGCTAATATGGAATTACTTACTACCACAGTGCCCAAGTTTTACACATATATTAAGAGTTAGTGTTGCGTGACCGCAGTGCCCAAGTTTTACACATATATTAATAAGGTTCTCGATAGGACAAAACGTGAATCCTGGGTTCCACTGTTACTCATCATCCACCATAATAACATCATGTTAATTCTCAGACATAGTGCAAGCATCCTCCCTGGGAGCCGATATGTCAACAGAGACTAAACAGGCCGTGACTACATCCACTGAAGTAACGTGAATGCTACATGTTACTGCGGATGGATTTAAACTACTGACAGTGATGATTACATTCAGTCAGCCTGTTTGAGGAAATAGCACTGGAAAAGATTCATCCACTGTAACCAATTACCTGGAATCATATATATATATATATAATGAGCATCTGACTTGTAATAGTGATGTCGCATAATCAATTGAGCAGACCACAAACTATGATTTGTGTAGAATTTGTGCGCAGTGTTAAAATAGTTGACAAAAATTACACTCCCGAGCACAGCCGATGGACAACATCAGAAGGCTAAGTCATCTAGAGAAAGCTGTGCCATTGCTATGCATGCATTTACATGTAAACACACAATATGTTAGGGCAGAGTACAAGTACTGGAAAGTAAAATTGTTAGGGGGAAAGAGTGATTAATCACTGAATCTTTTTTCATTGAGTCAACGACAGATAAATATAATAGGAGTAACACAAAACTCATCCCGGATATATGGACAATTGCATCAGCGACAAGAAGATTTAAAAAAATTACATTAAGTTTAGAGGTAGTGTGAATACATTAATATACTTACAAGTAATAAGTTCTCGTAACTTCATCTAGTCATTAATACTGTATCAGCATGTGTTATCAGCATGTGTATCTAACACAAAGAAGTAGATTTTAGGTGAAATTATATGGAAGTGAAAAACAGTAGCATTTTTCTCAGTGTTATGATTAAGAAGAATTTTTAAGAGAAAAATCATAAAGGAAGCAAATGGGATTTATGTCATACAATGTATTTAGAGCTTCTATCATCATAAGTTGGATAAAAACGTTTTTTATCACGTGATTTTTACCAATACTTAAGTATATATTAAACTAAAGCATAATAGAAAAAGTACAGATGACAACCACATGTGAGTCACAAATTTTTCAGAGCAGGCAAGATTTAGCTAAGTATTTTTCAAATCATTCGCTTCACTATGTAGATCTCTTCAATACACACTCTAAGCTTAGCTCTATTTGCTTGTTGCTTTGTGAGTAACATAACTAATATAAGATATCAGTATTGTTTATTTCAATGACTACAACATCATAAAAGATTTCAACACGTGATCAGACCTGTAACCTATCGAATTCCTGCAAACCAACACTTGATAATTTATCTGATGCTCACTAGTGACTGGCTCCGTACAGGAAGTTACCTGGATTTCTAGTGAGAACTCGTACCCAGAGGGGCCCACCAAGTCAGATAAGAGAACAGTTAATTGACTATGACACTGGTCGGCGGCTGCGCTATTTATATATCGAGAACTGACAGAATTTGGAACTCATGGGACATTGTGTTGAGTCCCAGTAGCTGAATGGTCTACGAGCTCTCCTTGTGAGTGGAAGGTCCTGGGCGCGAACCCCAGTGTGCGCATACCAATGAAGAGCCCTAAACCAGGACAAAACACGTGTCCAGTACTCCTTGGTTTTCCAACTGTTCTCTAACTGATGTCATCTCGTGTAGCCAATCAAATCCCTGCAAGTTGACACCTGAAAATTGATCGAATGAAACTTTAGGAAACCGAGTAAATGCTATTGGTGTAGATTTTGAATTCGGAATAATCAAACCTTATTTCCGGTAAACTGACTAAGGATAGTTCGAACGTGACTAACAGTAAACTTTTGGCAATAACGTGAAGATCAATATCAAGGTGAATAAACTAACCTTTTACTTTTTTTCTTGATTCGGTTCCATTTTAGTTTAAATTCTCCCCAGAAGAAGCAGAAAATATTGTTACGAAGGTAACCAAACAAAATTCAACTACCACACTGTCCTTTTTTCCTACTAATCCTCTTATCTCAAGTGTATACAAAATGTCATTGGAAGTAGTACATATACGCATGAATCCAGTAAAGAATGGGCAAGAAGTATAGTCGATTCCTGTCGAAGTGATCTGGTTAAGTTAGGGAAACCATTCAAATATGTTGGTAAATGCATATAACAGAATTGTAATATGATTTCATTAAAAAAATAACTTTTTCTTAAAGTAAATTGCACAATAACACAGAAACCTGGACCTGGTGTTTATAATGCTGCTTCATGTTACTGGGACACCACAAAAGATGGTGAGTTGATGTTTACATATCTTTCCTACTGTGTTAAGATAGTTAATTTGTGGAAACGAATACAAAATAAACCACACTCATACTCAAATGCACATGCGCCTATTTGAGATGTAAGTGTAGATGTTTTGAAACAATTAAGATTGTTTAGCTATGTACCGGAGTGATTTTCTATGACAGTAACTACTCTCAGTTAGAAGCCAATGGCTATAGATGCAAACCAACAATTCGAAGTATTCTGTAAACTGTTCACCTCTCCATTACAAAGTTGTTTTTCTAAGAATTTAGATATATTGTTTTTTTTCTTAAATAACGACTTTATAAAATGTAAGTGAAAGCAACAAAACAGATAATTCAGTAAGTAGGCTGTTTCGACGATTTATGTGCAATCACAAATACACATACGTGTATACTCTTACGAAATATCACACGTTCTTTAATTTACTGTTACACATATTACAACTCGCTTACCAAAAAATATACCGCATTACGTAACTCCTCCAACCTTATTCAGCTTCTCTGATTCATACTAGCGACCATCCTGATGATAATTCATTCCTTTCGTTAATGCCCTTCTTTATGCGACTGTTCAGCTAGGGGAAATGAAATCACCGAAATGATCCATTTCGTCGAACAGTCTACTTTGTTTTATATAGAGTGCAGTGCAAGAAAGTCTTCTTCGGTCAACTTTTTTACTGTTATCTTTAGTAACCAGTAAAGCAGTTTATTGTTGTAGAGCGAAGTCACGAATTGTGACAGATTCCGCTTTAAATCTCTATTCATGGAGTGGAATGAAATTCCCGCAAGCAAACTAATTTATATGTTTTTACTTCAAGAAGGAATTTATGAAAGTGAATATCATTGGTCTCTTTTTGTTAATCACAAATGTTCTTTTTTTTAGGTAACTGTAAAGTGAAATGGGAAAATGATCATGTCCATTGCATTGTTGTGGTATTTGCGATCTCACTTTAACTAACAATCAGTGGCTGACTCATCGAGGAAAACTATTGTGAAGTGAAAGCGAATTTCTCTCAAATGAAATAATTACCATTTGAAAATTCAAGATTCTACGAACTATTTATTACTTTTAAAAACTTATTTTGTATTGATGGTAATATTTTTCCATTGTATTTATACATTCTTGTCCGGAAAAGTTGTTTTGTTTAGCATTTGATGTGGTTAAGTGGTGTACACTGTTATGTAAAAAATTGGTTCCATTTTTACTCGAAATAAGAATGTTTCAACCAAATGTCTGATAAAATGAAATTCTCTCTCATTAACAGTGACCTGGGTGTCGTAATGGACTCGCGATTGTGCTCTAACTTGAGGGACAGTCTAAATTTTGGTTACAGATTGATATTAGTTAGAGTAATGGGTCATTATTTCGTCGTAGTTTGATACCCTTCGTCAATACTCACCCGCGGCTCCACTGAGAACCAAAATATATTAAGCTTCTTTGCTATCCAGCCACTGGGACTATGTCTAAGAGCCTGTGAATTATAGCTTCTGTCGTGTCTCAAACTAGGACGAAATAGCTGTTGAGTGCTCTTTTGTTTCTAATGGTTCTTTGACTGGTGTCAATTACTGATCCAACATGAACCTGGTCAGGCCTCTGTAAACCACCACTTGAAAATTAAAACAAATTTGACGAAAATAAAACTACTGAAGAATTAATAGTGCAGAAAAGCATGAAGTGATGGGAATATTTATTTGAGCTGTTCTTCAGTTTTCATAATGTAATCGTTATGTGGAACCGCTCATTATCCTGTTATCCTCAAATGCCTAAAATATTAAGTTGGTAAACTGTCAGTGCAATGTTTTGCAAGTCTCCTAGATCCAATCTGAAAGTACTTCCACGCGTTCAAATAAATTTAGACTGTCGCATTACCGTTTGGATGAAGGATGAACAAACGCTTGGTAAAGAGTGAATGTAGCTCAACTTCACTTGTATAAGATCCCATGAAATTTCATCGTACTAATGAACTTTTTTGTACAAGAAGCTATAATAATGTATATAACAAGATACTAAATGGATTATGTTTCCCCGGATACTATAGACTAAACTTTCTTATTTAGAGTAAACTATGATACATGGTGACAAAAGTCACGAATTTAGGAAGTGAGTTAAATAGGTGAGAAATATTTTCGGTTTGTATTGATACACTAAATTCTAGACCAGAGTAAAGTAGATATAAATAGATATATAAATAAGTATTTGCCCACTGCGTATTTTCGAGAAGGAAAAACATATACGAGGTAATGCTGAAATAGCGTTGTAAATATCTTGCTTGTATGAAAAAATTATCCATACTTTAGAATTTTATTTGTTTCGTCGACTGAGTCTCTGTAATTTAGAACAGTACTCTCAACTAGCAATATGTAATGGAAGAATGGATTCTGTTAAAGCCTGAGTCTGTTCGAAATACGAATGTTTCAGGATAAAAATTAAATTCTTATATATAGTTCTAACCCACGGTTACATTACGTGGTAAATCTGAAATAAAGTCAGCTGAAAAGAAGACACTCCCTTTCTTGAAATCTGTCTTATCTTAGACACTTCTGCTGCTCACAACTGTATCATCAATGAAGATGAGCGATTTATTAGGAAAATTGTCTAGTACATTGATAGAATTTGTCTAGTCGACTGAATACTGAGACATTTAGGTGATTTGTGACGATAAATCAATGGATTGCACTGATCGCTATGCCTGAGTTGTCGTTAATTTCTGCTGAGTTAATGCTTAACGAAAAAGCAGCAATGCACCTGATCAAGTGTAATGTTCTTTAAGGAAGTATAAATCACGAATTGGAAGAAGCTAGAGTTCATGGACCACTGGGTTGGATATCAGCGGTCTATGTACCTGCCTTGTAACTGGAACTTCCTAGATTCAGAACTCTGGGTGGTGTGTGCTGCCAGTGACCATCGAACTAGGATCAAACAGCTGTCTAGCACTCTCTGGTTTTCAATGGTACTTCGACTAACACCAATCTGCGATCAAACTTGAACCAAAAATATAAAACTTTTTGAATGACATGAAATGAATTCAAGCGATGTACTAGATAATCAACAATCAGTGAAGAAATACAGTTTGGCCACTGTACATTCATTGATTGTTGTTAGGAGACGTAAGGACATTTCAGACACAAACATTTTTCAGTGCTTAGGTAACTCTCCAAGCTGAATATCTTTTCAACCTAAACTAATGAATTTTTTAGATAGTTTTTCTTTTAAATTTGGACAGAACGTGAACTGCTCTAAAAGTATGACCAAGATTCACTGAAATGTGGGTACACAAAATATCCAGATGCCTAAGTTGAAAAATGGTGATAACACATTGTTTAATTATTGTATCCCAGCTTCATTACAATATTTTATAGGATTAAGACAGTTGACAGTAAATTCTGAAGTTTTATTGAGTAAAACCATGCACTGATATTCTAGGAGCCCACTTTATTTTATATTTGTCGCTTGAATTCAGCTTCACTCAGATATAAGTTCCCGTGGGGATCTCCTTCACTGAGAAAGTAAGCCGCTTTAATGCACGCAGTCCAGTGGATTTTATTGACCACTAAAACTTGTAGTTTCCTAATAGTAGATCAGTATGAGACTTACAAGAAGAAGTGATGAACGAAATTGTAATAGTAGTAGGTTGACATTTTTCAGTTCAACATTTTGGAATTCAAGTCAAAGCATTATCTTGATGGATGAATATTGTTTGCAGTAAGTAATTTACTTTGAAGCTGTTATTTAAACATATGAATGATATTGTAAAATAAATCTCAAAATATTTCTAATTTACATTCTTCTTATATAAAGTTCTCCTAATAAAATTATTAGTTGGAGAAAAAAAGACGAAACGATGTGAATATATTTATAACTTTGATTAGTTTATTGGATTTGTAACCCAAAATTCTTCTAAATCGTTTCGCTTGGATGATTAGATCGCTTTAACGAATATAAGAATAGAATAAGGGCACTATGATGAAATATAGCTGAAAATGGCATTAATGCATCACTGCATCCTATATACTCGTAAGTTTGTCAAATCTGTGGACGTTCTATATTTTCTGATCACGTCTTTAATACTTACGCCATCTCAGGCAAAAATTCATACATCATAAAAGATTTTTTCTTTTATCTCAAGGAGATACATCGTGCTGAAGTTTCTGTAGCAGCTTTGTTTACAGGGTGGGGTTGCTAGCCTCACGCCTGAGAAGGGGGGTTGTTACATTAATTTATAATTTAGAGAGAAGCAACCTTGTGGGTTGCTCCCCTTAAAACCAGGAAAACAGGGAATAAACAAGCGGAAAAACACCAGCACGGGAAAATAATTCACAAGAAGAAGGGTAACAAGCGACAACAACAATAATTATATCACAGTCAATTACAGTTAACCAAAATGATACCAAAATCATAGACTCACTGACTTGAGCCAACTTGAACATGTAAATCCATCAATATATATACAGTTATAGGTATTAGTTAGTGTTAAAACAAGCACAGAGTGGCAATAGATAGTCATAGGTGTAATTGATATACAATATTATATCCAAAGATTCAGTGTTTCAAAGTCAAATAATTGTAATAGTTTTTTGCAGCTTTTTGACAAGATATTCCACAAAAATCAGAGTTTTAGGTTACTATGCAAATGTAGCGCATTAATCGAAAAGCGCGCTTTCACCTACCTGGGAAGCATCGTCTCAACTACAGGCGGAACTGACGAGGATATCAAAGCATGAATCGGAAAAGCAAGACAAGCTTTCACCACTCTCAAGTCTGTGTGGAGGTCAACAACACTCACCATTAAAATGAGAATAACATCCGAATTTTCAACTCCAATGTGAAGTCAGTCAGTGCTACTATACGGATCAGAGACTTGGCCAGCGCGTCATAAAGAGCATCTCAAACAAACTACAGACCTTCATTAACAGTTGTCTTCGCTCAATACTCAAGATCAGATGGCCAGAAAAGATCAGCAACAGGGATCTCTGGCGATGAGCGAACCAACTCAGCAGGAACCGATTGTGAAACAAGTAGGCAGGAAGAAATGGAGATGGATTGGCTGGCCATACTCTGAGGAAACCATCAAGTGACATCACTAGACAAGCCATTGCTCGAGTGGAACCCGAAAGGGAAGCAGCGAGTTGGTCGTCAGTGCGAAGGTGGGTGACTTAGAGGAGGTCATGTGAAGAGGAGATGAAAACGTGTGGGCAGACTTGGAGCCAGGTGAAGACTCTAGCAGAGAACCGAACGCAATGGAGACGCACGGCTGAAGCCCTATGTTCCTGTAGGAATTAAAGGATACAATAATAATAATAAAAGATTTTAAAAAGTCTTTTGCATTCACAAAGCTTTTAATTAAGGTACTGATACAAATAAACATTCTTCTTAGTGAGAAGAAAAAGAAATTTCATCACTTCTCTGAAGATGACAATCTACTACATATTAACTGAGGACCCATTGAATAAGGAATTGGAAATCTTTCAGAAAAACTGTCATCAAAAATGGATATCCAGTCTTCTTCACTGAGAAACATCTAAAGATAAAAAACAACAGCTTTATTTTGTAAATCATTTATATATTGTACAAAATTTTCAGCAAAGTTTATTACATGATATTTTCTCATCATCCAGGACCTTCAAATAAAATAGCAGGTGACAGTAGATCATGTGAAACACTTCTGCCTGACGTGAAGAACAAACCAATAAATTATGATGTCTCTCCTTGTCCTCTTCGGCAAATGCATGTAATTTGGTTGAATGGCAATAAGAAAATGTTCAGGAATCCATTCTGTGAACCCATGAAAAGCTGTCTCTTGCATCGCAATACGCCCCAACCCACGATTATGCTTTATCTATCTATAACTAGAAACTTAAGAATCAGCAAGCTGTAAACACATTAAATACTCGCTAAAGTACAAAACATAACTGAAGGTCATATTTTGTTAGATATAAACAAACTGAATGAGAGAAAAGATCTATTAAATGTCGATGGAATTTTTCGGTAGCCCAGATTTAAGCAGACCACCAAGATTAATAAAGCCCCATACTCCTCAAAACCTGATTTGTAAAGTCCTTTGAAGCTGGCTGTCGACAGCAATTCGAAGAACATTCTTTGCCACATCTCTATGCTTCACCTTCTCCACACACGCTCTTGATCACGAAAACGTCAATGACAAGATCCCGCTTTTGCCAGCTCCAGTCTACATTTACCCATTCATTTGCTTCTGTGAAGCTAAGTACATAGGCCGTACTAGCAGAACGTTGTCTTGAAGTGCTCATGAACATTTACCAGCATGGTTGTCAAAATGAGAACGTAGAACAGTCAAGGGCTCAATTTTGAAATGCATTATTCTTTCTGGTCATGCGGCATCAGCACAGACTTGCTTCAGAGTCATATACAAAGCACGATCAAGTATTTCGAAAGGATTTGCTTACAACTTCTCCATGCAGTCTCTTTTACTACCATGGTCTTAGTACTAACTCTTTTCTTTTTTCTGCTCTCTTTGTTCTCCTGAAAAACTGTATAATAAGCTCTGTGTAATCCGTTTTATGTTTTCTGAAACTAATTTTCAATACTTTGTTTCCTTGTTTCTTATTGACTATCTTCAAACAATAATTCAAGGCTCAACCAATTATTTGTAAGCCCTCTTGGTCACTTAAGGTAATTCTCAAATTTCCAAGCACACTTACTACTCATGCACTTTATTTTATTGTTTTGAATAAAGTGATTATTATTATTATTATTATAAAGCGAAAACAACCCATGAACTCTGTTGTAAATCTACATTGTTTGTAAAAGCCGTCTAAATAACTTTGCTGCTTTGAAGGTACGTTATGAAGAGTGATCTCTTTGCTGTCTCATATGCCTTCAATTACAAATCGGATAATGTGCAGGAAGATGCGTGATTCCTCTTCGAACAGTAAGTATGGGGTAACTAATAAAAGTAAAATGACATGGTATACAATTTACCCGAAGCAACAGACTTTTTTGTGTTACAGTGTATGGTTTCTTTAACTAAGATGTTTGAATGTAGTTGATCACTTGGACTTCGGTTAAAGTTTTGTGAGCGAATAAAAATTCTTCTTCCAACGTAAAGGGACGTGCTTCGAAAATCAATAAGTTATTCGTTGGTGTGGTTGTAGTCCCTCAGCTGGTTGGTCTAATCAGCTGTCTACTGAACGCAGAGCTGCAGTTTGTGTAGAAAGGCAATAAATGTTTACACGTGAAAGCGTTCTAGTTCACTGCGCACAGATATACTAGTGTCATTTACCTGTACCATGGATCACTTCCATCATTTCGAAATTGTGCATTTCACTTGGATTCATTTTTTATTATCTATTATTTTATTTTACTCCCAAACTTTCTGAGCAAGACATAGGGTTTCAAGCTAGGGCTTTGAAGTTCCCTTGGCAGTGGCTTTATGCCTACGCGGAGAGGTTGTTAGCCTTTACCAGCCTTACCAGCAGCTCAAAGAGATTAAGAAGCGTGTCGGCCGACGACCGAACCCAGAACCTAGGTTGGCGAGCGTTCTACTGCTGAACCACTGACCCACCAACGCTTCTCAGATCCCTGAACTAATATCATGTGTAGTATCTGTTCTTTGCGGTGTGATTACTGCAATGGTCTCTAAACTTAGACCAATACAATTAGCTGTATTTTCCGTTTATGGACGGCTGCTAGGAGTTTCATCAACCCCGTCTGTGGGTCAGCATCTTACTGCATTTGAGTTCATTTGAAATATATCATATCGTCCAATTTCAAATAAATATGACTAAGGAAATAAGAAAGTTGGGCTTGAGCTACTTCTAGAGTAGAATCAACATATGCATATATATATGCATTATTAAAAACGTGAAACACATTGCTAAGTCTTATACAGTCGTCACAGACAATACAGGTTTCATTAATTTACCTGGTATGAATATGAAGCACGTTAATTTTTGTCGACTATACTTGTGAAGTGAAAACCCCAAAACATGATTTATATACCTCTCAGTTTTATAAACAAAATTTGTGTATTGAGTCGCTTTTTAGTTAGCATTTTGACACACCGACGTTTGTATTATGCTTTATAGTCATTTAAGAAAGAGTGTACTTTAATAAAACATTCGTAAAGATGAAAATGAACACTCTTCAACTTATCAAATCAACATTTTTAAATAAACAAATAAAGTTTAACGTGGTGCAGAGATTATTTTTTTTACTAATTATGGTTTCAGGTGAAAGTTTCCTTTAGAGAACATCAACTTTTGGATTTAACACAGAATTTCGGTTAGAATGATTATTTAAAAGGGTTTCAGATGAAACTCTGTGTTCGTATTTTTAGGTTTTTAATCTGCTTACATGGTGAATGAGGTAGATTGTTTTAAAATTCTATGCTTCCTTTAAAATGTCAGGTAGCCAGCCAGAATTTAAGTGATATGCGATAGTGAGAGTGGAACGAGTGAGCGATACTTCTGTGCAGCTTGTGTACGAGACAATGTAAGTAGTCATCTACCTTATAGATCAATCTGTCCAATCTATCTAATTCTATTAATTGGTGTGGGTGTTTTCAAGTAATTCATACTGGCAGTAAACATCATGTAGATTTGATTCTTTTCTTGGATAAAAATTTTACTGCACTTTTTAAACATTGTCCTAATTACGCATATGAAATGTAGCAGTGAAAAACAGACAACGAAGTGTTTAAAAATGGTGCCTGTCGAGCGTTTTCCGTGCTATTTGAAGGCCATTGGTTGGAATTCTATTGCGACTCCAGTCATCACCCACTACTTCAACCACATATACATTTCATTAAGCACTTGGTGGTTAGGGTGTTTACAGGTGGATAACTAACTTTGTGATTTGTGGAACCGACGACTTCAGAAATATTATCTTGGCAGTCCCTATCATCTAGCATACATAATGCATTTAAAATAAACTTAGTGAACTCCAAATAAAATTCATGATAGAAATCTTTCTTTTTGAAATTCACATGAGTAAAGATTAAATAAGTTGAATGAATATGAGTTACTGCTTAGAGATTATCGCAGAATAGAGTTATATCATAGCCTTTATACAACATATTAATCATAATTCAAAGAAAAGTTCACTTGTTTTTATTTAGCTCTCTACATTAAAATAGGCTTATTTTGTATGTGCTTAAGTACGTATGAAACGATTCAGCATATTCGAGAGATATATTGATCTGAGAATATTTATATCTTATGAAATAATCATGTATAATGCACACATATATTTGTAGATATTTTTTCAAGTGCAATCAATTTTCAACAATGAATAGGGAGTAATAAAAATGTAATTGCTGATTTGTGAATATCAGCTAAATAAACTCATGGAATTCTTTTTTCTTTTACGGGTGAAAATGTGTTTTCTTTTGCTCCAATCTGTAGTCATGTGAATTTACGTTGTTTGAAGTATTCAAGTTGAAGTATGCAATATATTTAGTATTTGCAAGCTGAATAAAAGAAACCAATTAAAATTTAAGGTCATTTTCTAGAAATGTATATTACTTCAGCTAGATAAATTCGTGAAAATATTCACTTCGCTTAAAATTAGAGTGCAATATTCTTCACTAGTCAAGACACCAGATGGGTATGTCAGATTTACTTAATGGGAATGAAGCAACAGATGTAAGTATTATTGTAACATTTTAAAATTAATAAGGAATATTCCCAATCTAGTTTAACTTGTGATTTAACTAAATTTTTAATTTAAAGTTGAAATCTGTATAAAACTGGTTTAATTACATGATTTTAAAGTATTGGTTTTTTAGGGATTTTGTCTGATTGGTTGGAGGGCTTCATCATGAGCTGATATCAGGTAGCAAACCACTGAAAAACCTTGGAGTACTAGACAGCTGTTTCGTCCTAGTGCTTGGGACTCCTTATCAGTACGCACCCGTCGCCACGGTTTGAAACCACGACCTTCTGGTTACAAGGTGAGCTTATAAACTATTAAGCCCCTGGGACCCGATCCAATAGCCCATGAATTCTAAGTTTTGCCAACTCACGACAAAGCGCGACCACTTCGCAATGTCTTGTTTGACGAGTAACTGTCCTCATCTTCAATTACATGAGAAGCTAAGGTCCTTTTCTTGTTGCTTCACACTGAAGTGAACAGTCAGAAGTTGTTTATTTATAATGTTGCATGTTCGTGTAAGTGATTCATTTCAGTTGAGAATACAAATGATTTATTCCACAAGACAGAATGGTACATTTATCATTTTAAAGTCATGACTTATCGATTGCTATCAGAGAACTAGACTAGTGTTAATAATACGATTAATTTATTCATAGGAAAATAGTGAAATATGAAACTGCATATAATATTAGGCCTTTAAAGCGTTGACAACATGCATCTATTTTATGATATTTCGCCTTCAAAAATCACACTACATATTTCTACTTGGTTATTGAGAATTTTCTGAGTGTACCGTAGAGCTATAACGAAATTTAAAGTGATACGATAGACATCATGCAGCTAAGTACAGCCTTTATAATAAAGATTGTATTGGCTCTTTTTTATTTGGATTAACATTCGCTTGTAAAGCATTATGAATTACCGGTGGAAACAAGTAAACAAAATGGTTTTACTGTGAACTGTTTCATACCTGCATCTCTTCTCCGGAATTAGTTAAAATGTAAGAAACAGCTTTTCCTACTTTTATCATTCTCTCCGAAATTACACGATCAGTTCTACTCGTATATATCTTTTTATTATTGTAGTTCCCAGTTATGTAGGCGTAATCATAATTCGATTTTATATTGCAATATTATTTTGGTTGAACATAGAAAATATAATGTAGAGTTTTAAAATTAAATTCACGAAACACTCCTTCCAGATGGCTTGAAATACAAGCATGGAGCTTTGATTTATGATGTACTTTGTACTGAATGCGTTTAATGCTGCATGTCATCAACCTCAAAGATATCTGCATGATGATCAACACCTTGCTATGAACTGTTCTTCTATCTTCCCCAGATGCTAAGTGCTAAATTTAGACTTAACTCGAGTGGATAACTCTCTGACACCGTTATCCTTTAGTGACGAGGGCCTAGTATAACTATAATATTAACTATGTACTGTACGGTAGCATGTGTATCGACAGAAGCAGAAGTTTGATGTTTATCTATGGTTGAGCAACAGTCATATCACATCAATATAAGTTCGAAGAATTACCTTCGTCAGTCACTTCATTGTATATAATTTTCTCTGCCAGGAATAAATACTTTGTTTAACTTTCAAGTCGGTTTTCATAAGGTTGTCACCCTGCACAAAAACATATTGGCAACGACAAGCTGGACTTTTGAGAACAACAGAAATATATGAGCCTGCTTTTCATTTAGTCTTAATGAAATGGAGAAAAAGGAATGTTGTATGCGGCTTCACTTAAGTAACGAAATAATCTCATGTGACTGTATAATTAAGATTGGTTATGAGAACTCAGCCATGTGATAAGCAAGACTGTGAGTTTATTTTGTCCTGTGAAAAGTTACAACATACAGTGAGTTAATTATTATAATAATTTGTCCGAGGAAGTAGGTAACTCATAGATGAATTTCATTTGGGTTTTTTTTGATCAAGATAGAAGAATAGCAAGAATAGGTAGCCCAACTTTCAAACAGGATGTCAAAGTCGATCTGAGATCTGGTCTTGAGTTAAATCACTCAAATTACCAGACTATTGACTTAGCCTTAAGAGATCTACAACGACTAGTTAATACACACGATGCATGTAGCATAGAGAGGACTGTAATAGAAACTAAATCTCCTCCCTCAGACATTACTTGTCCATCCCGTATTTTGTCGATCTGCAAAAAATGTTCCATTTAAGCTACTATATTAAGAAGTTAAGACAATCTAGAATCACTCAACCTCTACTTTTACGATTTGTTAACTCTCCTATCCTACCTATTGCACTTTACTGCTCTCCCTTAGTCTTTGCTGGGCTACTGAAAAGGAATTTTGTCATTTTGACAGGGGGCTTTAAAGGTTTTCAGTAGGGCAGGTGATGTGCAGCTTAGTCAGCCTGTCTCTAAATTAGTTGATAGACATTTAAACTCATGCGAGAAATGGTCTAAATCCATATTATCTGACCCTCACCACCGCCACTATTCTCAACTCTCCTCTTGTAGCTCATTTGGCAGAAATAGAAGTTAGTACAAAAGATTATATGCTTGTACTACCAAGTAAGTATAGGAACTCAACAACACCACATCTCACCAATGTTCTATGCGATAGAAACAATGTTAGGCGCAAAACCTATGAATTACTATGTTGTTAGCAGAATAATCGGCTCTTTTAATATCTCCTGTTTGCAATCTATGGTGAAACTATTTCAATTAACTGATAATCTTAGCTACCAACATTATTATTATTTATAATTCTTTTGTATATATAAATATATATATATATATAACTTCACTGTCACTGAAAATGCCAAATAAGAAATGCCATGAACAATCCTGTAATATTATTTTTATAGTTGTTCCTGTTAGATGCAATATTGTAGCAAATGCTGAAAATTCCACACTGTATTATTAGTACTATTTTTGAATGAACTAAACCGTCATTATTATAAGACATGTATGACAGTTTAAATAGAAGAAACATCTTCTAAATACTCAAACGCCCAATGAATTATTTCTATATCTTAAGTCATTTTGCAAACACAAAGGAGACATAATGAGACTTTGATAAGAAAAACGCTTAATAGGCAATTTAACTGAACGTATATGAGAGATTGAAAACCGAATCCTGCATCAATATTTATTCACCAGAAAACGTTTAACTTAAAAATATATTCTACGCTGTGAAATATAATGTTGTATTCCGTTAATTAACTTTAACTAGAACCATAAGACGACTACGTAATGCGGAAGATATCAAAGTCAACACAACTGTGAGGCTGACAGTTTTCGCGTCAACTTTACTTCCCACTCAGTGGTACATAAAACTTTTGATCACTAAAGTCCTAAATTACCTGTTTCTATCAGTGAACATTCAATGTGAAAACCAGCTTCTGATGTTGTTGTCAAATTTAACTTAGTCAGGAGTTGACGTGAGATGGTAGGATTTAGTCTGCAGAAAACCATGTACCATGTACTTGAGCTTCGCGATTCTCGGCACTCACCAACAAGAAGCATATGAAGTCCATTTTAATAATTATGTCACTTATGAGGTTTGAACTAGCATTATGAAGAGTCACGGTCAAACACATCATTACTGGCCTCCTTTGGTACGTGAATTCACTATGTGAAATAGTTCTAAATATTATAGATAATTAGGTTTTTTGCATGTTTCATCTTTCTTGATAAATACCTTTATAAAGCTTACTAAACGTCTGATTTTGTATTGTGCACTGCATAAAAATGCTACATAATGTGGAATATTATGTACAAAAATATACATAAAATCATAACCTTTAGAAATACCTTTGTCTCACATTCCAAAAAAGTGTATTTAAGCGGAACTAACACTTCATATTTCTCTTCATTATCATAGTCAAAATTTGAAAAGGATAAGGTGGAGACCATTATCAACAAGGTGAGTGATAAAATTCCAATTGTTTTATAACTCATATTCATGTAATTCCAGTGTGTTAAAAGTATCATCGGAAGTAACACATTTTCAAATGATGCAGCGAAAGACTGGGCGAGAAGTGTAGTGGAAAGTTGTCGTGGTGAATTAATTAAACTAGGCAAATCATTCAAATATATTGGTAAGTAATGATTGTTTCGAATTATGCGTAAAATATACTTTTTATTTTTACAGTTAACTGTACGATAGTACAAAAATCTGCCTTTGGAATTTACAGTACCACTTCTTGCTACTGGGATGATGCCAAGGATGGTAAGAATTTTACACCGTTTTTTCCTGTCATACTAGGTGAGCTCTACCTAATGGTTCAGGCGAAGGTGTCTCTGTGTTTTCAAGGTGTAATTCCTTCTTTGTTTATTTATTATGCGTAAAACTCAAAACTCAAACAGGAAAACATTGTCCTTTCAGCTGATTCAAAGAATACATTAAAATTGAGGAAGTTTGCTGTGTATGAAAGTTGGATAAATTTTTAGTAGTTATGTATGCATTTGAGTTGTCTCTGAGAATATGCCAACCACTACTTCTTAGGTATAATATGGCTTTAACAATCGTTTGTGACAACTCATCACTTTTGTTACTACCCTCTTATATCAACATCCAATTCCTCTGAACGCCTTTTGAATTGCGTAACTCCACCAAAAACTTACTAACTGTATTTCCGTTTGGCGAATTTAATGTACACACACATGCAAAACATCATATATTTGCGATTGTACAGCTGTGAAAATGAATTCGCCGAAAAGAGACTCTTCGCTGAACTACTTGTCTTCTGGCAATAAAGGAACTAAATCCATACTTACTGAAATAAAAGTACATCTTAAAAGCTGGTGACTGAATCACATAGAAACATCTGTCGACTATTTCACTGAAACCGATGGACTTGCTTATTACTGCTGATATCGATTACTGGTATATGATATATAATTGTAATATTTCAATTCAGTATAACATATGTTAACTGTGATCACAATTTAGATTACTAGAGTTTCTTCGAATTCAAGCAAAATGCTAAAATACTGGATAATTATAATATGGACTGTTGGTATAAGATGGTTGGAGGCAATCGGCAGGAAGCCTTGGACCTAGGTTTCGTGCTGGTTGGCACTCATCAGCAAGGCGTATCTGCAACCTTGAAGGAACTGATGTCCCTTCTGAGATTCGAACCCACGTTACCCAGTGCTGCAGTCAGAGACGTTACCACTGAGCTATTCAGGCTCGCGACTGACCTCCTGTAGGATTGTATAGGATATTTTTGATTGCACACTAGTCAGTAACTAGTGTAATGTGTCTAGTCCTAACACCGGTGCAGACTGAATTCTATCAGTCATGTTTGCAATGTGGCCACCATGCTAGGCGGCTCGCCATTACGGTGCACTGTGAATTGTTGGTATTAGATGGTTGGAGGCAATCGGCAATCAGGTTCGAATCTCAGAAGGGACATCAGTTCCTTCAAGGTTGCAGATACGCCTTGCTGACTGGTGAGTGGCAACTAGCACGAAACCTAGGTCCAAGACTTCCTGCCGATTGCCTTCAACCATCTAATACCAACAATTCACAGTGCACCGTAATGGCGAGCCACCTAGCATGGTGGCCACATTGCAAACATGACTGATAGAATTCAGTCTGCACCGAAGTTAGTACTAGACACATTACACTAGTTACTGACTAGTGTGCAATCAAAAATATAATATGGACTTATGACATTCATGTCGAATAGTCAAAGCTGCTGGAAATCTATACGCGTATATCATATGATATCAATTATATAATTTCATACAATTAAGTTTTTATTATTTCTTATTCATGTTTACAGGTGGGTGTACTGTAAAGTGGGAGAATAAAAATGTCTACTGTATTGTGACTGCATATGCACTTGCAGTGTAAGAAATGGATATATATGCAGAAGAAGTCATGAGAACTAGGATTTAATGAAAATTGCTATTGTCAAAAACATATTTATCATGAAAACATTGTGTAAACCAATAGTTATTACTTATTAACAATAAAAGTAGTATAACTGTATATGTTGTTTTCCTTAATGTCCGAAATGAAAATCAGTAAGACGTAAACCGTTCTGAATCGTAACTGGTATATGAATCAGGAAAATACTAGCAAGGTAATTACAGAAACCTTCAGAATATTTAAAGACGTCGTTACTTGAATAATTTTCTGAAGATGATGACTTTTCATCTACAATACTCAAAAATACTCACTGGTGGTCGCGCCATATCATGAATTGGCAGGAGTTGCAATTCATGGGCCATTGGATTGAGTCCCAGTGGCTTGATGTTCACCTTGTAACCAGAAGGTCCCGGGTTCGAACCCTGATGGTGTGTGCGTACTGATGAAGAGTCCCAAACTAGGACGAAATAGCTGTCCAGTACTCCTAGGTTTTCTAATGGTCCTCTAACCGATATCATTTCATGATGAAATCCTGAAACCAGTCAAATCCCTGCAAACCAATACTCGAATTATCACTTCGTATATGCAGGAAGTCAATTTTCTTTACGTTATCAAATCCTTTTCGCTTCCACTAAATAACAGATATAGATCCAACAGAGTAGCTATGAATTCAATGAGTTATTCATCCACATGAAGCCACCTTCAATAATCTCAAGGAACAACACATTTTTTCCTAACGACGCATTTTATTTTGGAGTTCTCTAACCTATTAAAGTTGTACTCAGTAAGAAATGGTAGCAACAGACTTTTATTTGCTGCCAGGAGCTGTGATTGTGACTATTTGTCGAGATAGTCATTGGTGAAACTATTCATCTGTGACTTGGCTTTCAAATGCATATGTTCTGAATCTGATTTAACTGCTTCAAGAAAGAATTATCAGACATGATAGTGATTAAATTGAATAAGGTGCATCACATATAACTGTAAGATGGATTTGTTTGAAATAGCTTGTGTCAAAAGTTAAGTGATAGCAATAATAGTAATTGCTTTATTCTACACAGGATTTTTATAACTTATTATAGAATTCTTAGTGTATTTTACTGCAAAATATGTAGAGCTGTATAGCATTAGTTTGAAAGCTAACTAAAATTTGCTTAAGTGCACGTTTCTATCCTTAGACTTAACTGGTCAATCAAAAAAAGAAATGGAGCAAAGTCTATCCATTGTACTGGATGAAAGTTAAGGTAAACAAGTGATTTAAATAGACCTGCCTTAAAGTGACATATGACAGTATCAACTAATATAAACAGTATCATTTAACCCCCACCTTCACCTAAGGCGGCTTTGACTTAAATGTCATTTTCCATCTCACACATTGTATTTATTATTTTTAACAGTAGTACGGGTATTTCTTTTTACGGGGTGGGGTTGCTAGCCTCAAGCACAACCTTTCCACTTTACAAACCTTACTACTAGCTCAATAAGGTTAAGGAGTGCTCCGGCAGGCAATCGAACCCCGGACCAACTGCATGGTTGGTGAGTGTTCCTTTTACTTGAATTCTTCTTCGGAAGCTGGAACAAGATCAGTAGTCTGATTGATCAAATTTTCAAACTCGATATAAGTATTGAGCTTGTTTATGTTTGAGTTCATGTCGCAAAATCTTGGCCCGACAGACAAGGCCTCCAACTGTATGGGAGATAACGTTACTGAAGAATAATTGAACACAAATTTGGTGGGATCTTCTGGAAACTTGCGTCGTGTTTCTGTAGCTTTGAGACTTTTCAATAAGTTAGAATGGATGGCTTGTGTACGCTTCTCCGTAACCAGAGTGACATAGTCGGTAAATGCTTGTCGTTTATCACAAAACAATTCGTGTAACGCAGAGGATCGTGGCGCAATGTTCCTCTCGAGTTCTGGCACACGTGATATAATGGAATCAATATGGTTCAGGGTATGACGCTTGAGGGATTTCGAGTTCGGATAAATGTGGTTGCAGCGTAGAGATTTCCAATACCACTTGGGATATTCATGATTACTCATACAGTCTCTGAGAAAATTGATCGCATTAACTTCAGCAAGCTTGACAGAATATCGCAGAAACCCATTCAGTTTCATTCACTGTCAGAGGGTCCTTGCTTATTTTTAATTCTTGAAAAATACCCATTAAGAAATTGAAATAAGAACAAATTAGTTCAGCGAAGAGTTTCTTTTCGGTGAATTCATTCATTTAGCTGTACAGTCGCAAATATATAAAATTAATTTTGTCTGTGTGTACATTAGGCTTGTCAAAATCAAAATCAAAATAACAGTTAGTGTGGGTTGTTGATTACATCATCAAAATAATAAAGAAATTAAAATGTGTGATTAATAGTCAAAGTTGTAAGTAAGTGGGGTGAAGATTGGTAAGATGTGAGTAGTGTTACGTAATATAGACTACCGTGGGTTTAATTTCAAGTTTATCTGTTTTGTTATCAAACTTTTTTGCAATTTTCGTATAATAATTTTTAATAACTAACCCATTCAATCTTTTCACCTATTATCTAGTTTATTTTCATAATTGTCTCCAAACTCCTTCACTAGCATCTAATCTTTCTAAACATGTCTATATTACGTAAGCCTGCTCACATCTTACCAATCTTCACCCCACTTACTTACAACTTTGACTATTAATCACACATTTTAATTTCTTTATTATTTTGATGATGTAATCAACAACCCACACTAACTGTTATTTTGATTTTGATTTTGACAAGCCTAATGTACACACAGACAAAATTAATTTTATATATTTGCGACTGTACAGCTAAATGAATGAATTCACCGAAAAGAAACTCTTCGCTGAACTAATTTGTTCTTATTTTTCTCCGTTCGTCAAGAAATAACTTCCACACTTCTTTTTGTCTGTTGCAGATGTGGTGTTTGAGGTGACTATAGTGTTCATTTCATTCCTGTCATTGCAAACCAACTGCTGTTTCGCTGAATTATCATACTTTCATGAATAATTCTTCTTCCTGTTTGGATAAATATCTTTTAGTTATTTATTTGATGATCAGTCAGCAAGGTTATTAAAGATTGAAGTCTCATTAATAAATGGATTATGACTTCGCAAACTTAAGTGATTTCTAAAACCTGTATGGCAGTAGTTCTTTAATTTGATGATCAAATTAGCAAACGCTACTCCTCCTTCTACTTCTGCGTTTGTAATTCACAATATTGACTTATGTTTAGCAATCACAAAACCACACTAAAAGATCATGAAATCATTGGTGCATAAAAGCCCATCTTTTCGAAGTAATTGCAATGAGTTCTAAAGAAAGCTGGACAACTGTTGGTGAATTTACACTCTCTGACCAAAGCTAATTACACCACAGCCCTTATCGATCAGCAGCAATATTAAGTCATTTCTCCTATATGGACCAGTAGCTTGGTGAGTCACGAAAGGCATTTCCAACAGGCTATTGTAGACTTTTATCAACAACTGCCTTCACTCCATAATGAAGAGCAGATGGCCGTTCAGAAAGAATTAACGACGAGAAACCTGAGGAACGAGCCAATCAAGAACCCATTGCCCAGCAAATATCTCGAAGAAAATGGAGACAGATTGGAAAAACGCTGAGGAGACCACTGGATGATATTGGGTGACAGGTCCCCAAGTGGAACCCGAATGTATATATACAAATTGGATATGGGTACGAGGGTGAATAGAAGAGATCGTGTGAGGAACAGATGAAAGCAAAAGGGAGGATTTTGGACTGAAGAGAAACTGACAAAATGGAGACATACTGTTGAAGCTCTATGTTCCACTCAAAATCCAAGGGAATGATGATAATGTGATACCTATAAGATAAAACAGAGGTGATGAAAATTCCTGGGCAACACCACCAACAGCAACAACAACAACTGACAACAATCAACATAAATGGGAGGAACCTGAAAGAAACAACCTCTTTTACCTACCTGGGAAGAATCGTTTCAACTACAGGCAGAACTGACGAGGATATCAAAGCATGAATCGGAAAAGCAAGACAAGCTTTCACTACTCTCAAGTCTGTGTGGAGGTCAACAACACTCAGCATGAAAAATAAGATCCGGATTTTCAACTCCAATGTGAAGTCAGTGCTACTATACGGATCAGAGACTTGCACTGCGCGTCATGAAGAGCATCTCAAACAAACTACAGACCTTCATTAACAGTTGTCTTCGCTCAATACTCAAGATCAGATGGCCAGAAAAGATCAGCAACAGGGATCTCTGGCGATGAGCGAACCAACTCAGCAGGAACCGATTGTGAAACAAGTAGGCAGGAAGAAATGGAGATGGATTGGCTGGCCATACTCTGAGGAAACCATCAAGTGACATCACTAGACAAGCCATTGCTCGAGTGGAACCCGAAAGGGAAGCAGCGAGTTGGTCGTCAGTGCGAAGGTGGGTGACTTAGAGGAGGTCATGTGAAGAGGAGATGAAAACGTGTGGGCAGACTTGGAGCCAGGTGAAGACTCTAGCAGAGAACCGAACGCAATGGAGACGCACGGCTGAAGCCCTATGTTCCTGTAGGAATTAAAGGATACAATAATAATAATAAGTCATACTGCATGAACATTAAATCTCAGAAAGATCCTACAAATTTCGCAACATTTTTAAATAAATATATCAATTTTTATTCTGATTTTACATAATTTTCAGAGCACTCAGTTCTAGCTGAAACTGTTAACTAGGACAATTGAGTGAACCTGAGATTTCAAAAAAGGCGACAAAAATTTTATTCGACTACTCAAAGTTACACATCATTAGGAATCTTGTTATTTATAAAAAGTTATATTTCTTTATTATATATTTTATGAGACAAAATAAAATTTCTTACAGAGTTTTCAAAATTCTTAATTAAATATTGTCATATGATTCCCTAGGGTAAAAATTTGTTTAGTTTTATTTCATTTGGGAATTGGAATATGAGACAATAAAATTATTTGATAGCATGGGGAAATTTCGATTTTGTCACACATATGAAGAGATATCGCTAAACAACTGAAGGCGGAATACCGATGTTCTTGGCCAGCCATAAAAGTTATTTTTATCGGATAATTGACTAGTCGGTAACCAAAACCCCA